ACACTTACTGGAAAGCAAATCAGTTTCACTAAAAAGAGATGTTGACAGGAAGACAGGAAGGCTGGTCAACAACCTTAATTGCACTAACCACTCACCCTTTAGTTGAGACATTGTTAACTGAAGCAGCCTCCACCTTGTTTGTCCCGTGTAAGTTTCCGTTATTTCCTGCCTCGGGGCTACATGTAAATTTGTTTATGTTGCCTAAGATGTTTTCGCCAAAGCCTCAATAAAAGGGACGGCAGGACCAGAGCAGTGAGTAGTTCTCCCACTAGAGTTGGACTACCGCCTGGCCCCCCCATATCACCAAGTTGAATTTCTTCAAGTCCCAAGTCCGTTCATTTGTGTGCAACCCTTCTCCAGAACCCGAACCCGGGATTGGAACTCTTTCCAGGCGGGCCGTGAAAGAGATTCCTACAACACTTCTCATGGGATGAAACGCTTCCCCTTTGGGTCAAGACCTGGGGCACCGACCAAAAGCCCCAGGCGCGGGGAAGGCAGAGCTGAAATGAGGAGCAAGTAGACAGCAGGTGTCCCAGGACGCGAGTTGGCAAGGCCAGCACCCGGACGCCAGGGGGCCGGGCGGAGGGGAGTGGTCACCGCAAGATCCGGAAAACTTTCTGCAGAGCCGCTCCGGGCCAAGTCCCACACGGGGCCCGGCACAGAGCAGCACAGCCCCTCCGGCCTCCTTACCGTCCTGCAGGAGCTCCCGGACCGTCGCTGCAGCCGCCCGAGAGCCCAGAGCTCCGTGTCCCGCTCCAGCGCTGCCGCCGTCCTCGCCTTCCATGTTGTCGGGTCGCGCGGTGATGACGTCAGCATGGACCTGCCAGCCTCGGCGGTGACGCAATCTCCCGGCGCCGCCCGCTCCGCCAAGCTACGCCCACCGCTCCTGATCCGCCGGGTGAGTGGGCTTCATCGGCCGCAGCTGGACAGGTTCTGCCCGGGAGGAGCCCGCGGGGGGAGGAGGGGGGGGGGGGTCCCAGCGCAGCGGGGGGGCTGGAGCCGGGGGCTCGGCGGAAAGCGCCGCCCGCGAGGGCCGCTGTGGCTCCCGGGCCGCAGAGGAGAAGGGGCGCGCCGGGACGTGGCCGCAGCGCTGATCGCTAAAGCAGGTATTTACCCTGAGATCGAGGGCCCCGCGGGGGCGGAGAGGGGCGCGGGGGGTTGGGAGAGCCCCGCCGGCGCCCCCCAGGCTCGGCTGGCGGGAGTGAGGCGTTAGTTGCCCAGCTCTCTCTGCCCCACGCCCCGATCGTCAGTCCTGAGCGAAGGGCGGCCGGGGAAAGCCTGGGAGGGAGAGCTGCTGCCGGGCGGTAGTGAGAGTCGGGGAGAGCCAAGAGCCGGGGAGGAAAGAAGACGGAGCCGGAAAGGACGAGTGGGCTGGGGCTCTGTCCTCCCTCCCAGGACCCGCTTTTCTGCTTCCTCTCGGTTCCGGGCACGTGCTTTGAGGGATGCCAAAGTTGTGGTCCTATTACAAACAGATGGGCTTTCCGTATCTCAACTAAAAAGCTGTAAAACCAAGTTCTCGCGCCCTGGCCGGTTCGGCTCAGTGGATGGAGTGTCGGCCTGTGGACTGAAGCGTCCTGGGTTCGATTCTAGTTAGGCCGGGGCACATGCCCGGGTTGCGGGCTAGATCCCCAGTAGGGGGCGTGCGGGTGGCAGCCAGTGGGTTGTTCTCTCTCATCGTTAATGCTTCTATCTCTCCCTTCCTCTCCGAAATCAATAAAGTTACTTTAAAAAAAAAAAAAAGTCAAGTCCTCGTCCTCATCTCCGCTGCTACATCTGCATTAGGCATTCACCTAGATTCCTCCAAGATAATGCTGATGAGTTAACAGATCACGTATGTTAGAAGGTTACTTACACATTTATTTATATAAAGAAAATGTAATACAACTTAATATACACACAGGGAGCTGTTTTTCCCCTAATTTAGAGTTAGGTGGTTCTCTTAGTTCTGTTAAGAGTATTTCAAGAAGTTGCAATAATAGTAATTACTCTGTGCTAAACACTTTTCTAAGTACTTTATAAATCTAAATGCATTTAATATTTAAACAGCTAAGGCAAGCAAGTTTCATGGTACGCGGAATTGTGTTTCCCCTTTTTTAAAATTATATTTTTATGGGTATTAGAAAGGGAGAGAAACATTGATCGGCTTCCTCCTGGGAATGGAACCTGAAACCCAGGCCTGTGCCCTGACCTGAATAGAACCAGTGAACTAAATCTAGAAGCATGGGACTACCCAAACCTGCCAAGGGCTTGCTTTCTCTGTCTCAGGTGTTTCCTAATATTTGTTTGATCTCAATCATGATAAGCTTAATGGTTTTGAATAGAGGTCAAATGGATTATGAAGGGCAGTGTCTCAGACTTAGGTTTCATTATCTGAAATTCTTTATTGTTACAAAGCGTATCTTTGAAATATGAATTTTTTTTTTCCCTTTGGCCTTTATATTGGATGGTACCCACAATCCAGTTATGTGCCTTGACTGGGAATTGAACCAACAGCCTTTCAAGTATAGTAGCTACACTGGCCAAGAATTGCCAGTGTGCTGCAAGAATTTTAAAAACATGCAATTTAGGCAGAGGCACTGACCGCTTCTCAAGATTGTCATATAAAAAGATAACAGCAGCCAACACAACAATAACTGTCAGGTGTGAGTGAAGCAAGAAATTATACTTGCTCTGGCCTATTAGCTCAGTTGGTTGCAGCATCATCCCAATATGCCAAGGTTGTGAGTTTGATCCCAGGTCAGGGGACATACAAGGATCAACCAATCCTATATAATAAAAGGCTAATATGCAAATTGTCTCATTGACTGGGAGTTCAACCAGGGTTGGGGCCAGCCATTCACCTGCCCCGCCTCACCCGCCCAGCCTGATGGGGCAGGCTGGCCAGACACCACCTGTGCACCAATTTGTGCACCGAACCTCTGGTAAATTCATAAATAAGCAGAACAAACCAATGTTTCTCACCTTCCCTCTTTGTAAAATCAATAAAAAAAAAATATATATATATATATATATATATATATTAATATATTGATTTTGTACAGAGAGAAAGGGAAAGAGATACAGAGTTAGAAACATCAATGAGAGAGAGTCATCGATCAGCTGCCTCTTGCACACCCCCTACTGGGGATATGCCCACAACCAAGGTACATGACCTTGACCGGAATCGAACCCGGGACCCTTCAGTCCCCAAGCCGACACACTATTCATTGAGCCAAACTGGTTTCAGCTAAAAATATATTTTTTAAGTCACAAAAATCAACTTTAAGAATTATACCTATTTTTTTTGTCAGATTAACAAAATATCTACGTGTGTGTGTGTGTGTGTGTGTGTGTGCGCGCACTGCAGAATTTTACTAGAGTATGTGTGCCATGAGATGAAAAAGGTTGAAAACACTGACCTACATTATAAACTCTAAAAGAATCTTAACTGGTATATAAGGTTCATGCCAGTCTAGGCCCTCTCACTCTTTGGTTCAGTTAGAACTCAGACAACACTAATTTTGTCTATAAAATACTATGAATTGCTGAATTTAACAATTTGTTCCTCTTTCAGTATAAAAGTGATTTGCTATGCAGTTATCCTATCTAATAAAAGAGTGATATGCAAATTGACCATACCTCTGCTATGCCCATAAGCCACACCTACCAGCCAGTCAGGAGTGAATATGCAAATAAACCCAACTAAGATAGCTGCAGCCACAGAGAGTAGGAGGGAGGCTTGGGTTTCCCTGACAATGGAGGAAGCCAAGCTTCTGCAGCCCTGGCCTGTCTTGGCCTCAGCATAAGGTTACAAAGTTTCAATTATAGAAGATACATAAGTCCCAACAGAAATGGCTGCTGCCAAGGAACAAGCAGGAGGCTTGGCTCCACTCCAGGCTACAAAGTTTCAATTGTAGAAGATAAATCCCAGATACCAGGGTCTCCAGGAGGCGTGGCCTGCCTGCAAACTACCACAGGCCCCTCGCCCAGGCCACCCCACACTCCAAGGGAACCCCCACCGTGATCCGGGACACCCTTCAGGGCAAACCAGCCAGCCCCCATTCATGTACCAGGCCTCTATCCTATCTAATAAAAGAGTAATGTGCAGAATGACCATCACTCCAACACAAGATGGCTGCCCCCATATGGTCAAAGATCCTGCCCCTATGTGGACACAAGATGGCCAGCAGAAGAGGGCAGTTGAGAGGGACCAAGCCTGAAAGGGAGGGCAATTGGGGGCGATCAAGACTGCAGGGGAGGGCAGTTAGGAGTGAGCAGACCAGCAGAGGAGGCAAGTTGGCGGTGACCAGGCCTGCAGTGGAGAGCAGTTTGGGGGTGGGGGCGGGGGGAGGGGAGGATCAGGCCTTCAGGGGAAGGCAGTTAGAGGTGACCAGGCCTGCAGGGGAGGGCAGTTAGGGGCAAACAGGCTTGCAGGGAATCGGGCATCAGTCAGGCTGGCAAGGGTGTGGTTAGGAGGTGATCAGACTGGCAGGCAAAAGCGGTTAGGGCAATCAGGAAGGCAGGCAGGTGAGCAGTTGGGAGCCAGCTGTCCTGGATTGTGAGAGAAATATCCATATTGGAGAGGGTGCAGGCTGGGGTAAGAAACACGCCACCCCCTCACCCCCCCTTGTACGAATTTCATGCTCCGGGCCTCTAGTGTCACTGTAATGAGTTAAGTATAGAATTTGAAACTGTTAGTGTTTGACATGAACAAGCATAATCTGTACATAACAAATATACTTTTCCCAAAGTGCTGAAATTGTCAGTAACTTATAAAGGCAGAATTTTGTAATATCCTATTTGATACTATGAAAATAAGCTAAAAAGACTCCAAAGCCCATTGGCCTGATGAAAAATGTGTGTTCTCGGCCATTGAAATTGTTAGAATGTTAGGAATTCATCTAATGAAAGTACCTTTTTTCTATGTATACTGATTGTGGTTTTCTATTGTGTGTGTATTTTGTTTTTCAGATTTGAAACAAATCTGTGTTCGTGAAGAATGATTGCATACAAAACACAATATGTCAAAAAAGATAAAAGATCCAATAGAACTATTTCATTCTGGGCAGCTGGTAAAAGTCTCCGCCCCAATGGTTCGATATTCAAAGTAAGTATTGTTAAATGGTGATTTCCTTTTTATGCTCTGACTTTTTAAAAGTAAGATCACTTCACCACATGGCATCTTCCAACACTTAGCTTTTGGATCATGATCAAGGCTTGAGGCCTGATGTTACCACTTGCCTAGTATGTGTGTGACCCTGAGTAAACAGTTAACCTCTCCAAGTTCCTCCTGGCTGGCGTTGCTCAGTTGGTTGAGCTCCCTTCCATGCACCAAGAGATTGCTGGTTTGAGTCTAGTCAGGGCACTTGCCCAAGTTTCGGGCTTGATCCTCCCCAGTAGGAGGTGCGCAGGAGGCAGCCAATGTTTCTCCCTCTTACCCATGTTTCTCTCTCCCTTCTTCTCTCAATAAAAACATTTTTTTTAAAACAATAGTGCTTATAACTGCTATCTATAATATAATGGATATTAAATATATATAAGCATGTCTGCACAGGTTTTTGTGTGAATGGAAGTTTTTATTTATCTAGGACAATACGGTAGATATGGTAGTTATATGTTTAATTTACTTAAGAAACTGCCAAACTTTTCTAGAGTGGCTATATGTTTTATGCTCTCATCAACAATGTATGAGGAACCTAGTTTTCTTTCTTCCTTTCTATCATATGCCTTTGATCACGCCTTATTACAGTGACTAGAAGTTCCAGTACTATGTTAAATAAGAATAATGAAAGCAGACATCTTTGCCTTGTTCTTAATCTAGGGGGAAAGTAATCTACCTTTTACCTGTTTAATGTAATGTTAGCTGTAGGACTTTTTGTGGGTCCTCTCTATCAAGTTAAGAAAGATCCCCTCTTTTCCTATTTTTCTGAGAATTCTTTTCATCATGAATGAGTATTATTTTGTCAAATGCTTTCTCTGCATTGATTAATATAATCACGATTTTTTTTCTTTAGCCTATTAATATGGTAGATAATATTGATTCTGAGTACTGAACCTTCTGTTTTAACTGTTGATTTTCTGACACCACTACAGCAGGAGAAAGATGAGGCACCACCTCTTTACAATCAGGTGGAGGTAGAAGTCCAGGTTCCCCATTTAGTCTCCTTTGACACTCTGAGGGCAAAGGGCTCCTCATTCCTGCTGAGCAGGGGGAAGAGTTCCAGGTCCACATGGAGTGGGTGGCCTGGCAGCTACTGGGCAGTGATGAAAGTCCTGGTTCTGCTCTCAGCGTGCTCTGATACTGCTCCCTGTGGGAGGCAGGAGGGCGCCTCCCTGCTGCTGGGTAGGTGAAGACTTCCCATGAGGTCTCCACTGATACCATTGGAGGCACCTTGTAACTTGCCAGCAAGGATTGAAGGCCCAGCTCCCTATCTGGCCTTTTCTGATCCTACTTTGGAGGGGTACTGGAGAACCTTGTCACAGCCTTGGAAAGGTAGAAACCTAGGCTCCCCACTCAACCTTTGTGGAGAGGAAACCACAGTTGTCTTTTCTTGGTGTTTGGCTGGAGTCAGGCTGCTATTATGTACAGTTTTCTGTCTTGCGAGGCTGACCCTTTCCTGGCTGTTTGGCTAGGGAGAGCAGACTTTTGGTAAGGCGTTTTTGTTTGCACACGTTGGTATTTCCAATTGCCAGGTGCTTCAGCTCCAAGTGTGGGATATTTGAGGTAAAAAGAAAACCCAAGAAACTCACCATTGTTATTCTTCAGGTCCTGAGGTCACTAGCATGTCTGTTTTCTTCTCTCCACCTTTGAAATTTTTTTCTTTCCTTTTTTTTTTTTTTTAATATAAAATCCAGGGGTTTTAGTTATACTAAGCAGGAAGTCCAGGGAGATCTCCATCTCCCAATACATAGACCTTTCCTCTAATAAATATTTAATAGTTAACTAAATTAAACTTGGAACTACATATGATTGGGCTGATTTCTAAGCGCCTAATTAAAGTTTTATCCCTTTACAGGTTAGCTTTTAGGACACTAGTAAGAAAGTACAATTGTGATCTGTGCTACACACCAATGATAGTGGCTGCTGATTTTGTCAGATCTGAAAAAGCCAGAGACAGTGAATTTACCACAAACCAAGGTATGTGAAACTCAGAGTTTGTTGACTTGTTACATCTTAAAAATCTCAATTCAGAGATTTTATTTTTCAATCTTTTAGTATATAATGTCTCTTAATAAGTCTTTGTAAAATATGTTTTTACTGAGTGTCTTTGAACTGGATGGTATACAAAATACTAAGCCTTCCTTAGGGCCCACAATCTCTCACCTAGACTATTAAATTAGATTCCTGTCTCACTGCCCCCCTCTTGTCGCAATCTAAACTATCCTCTAAACAACCCAAAGTGACCTTTTATAATGTAAATTTGAACACTTCACTTAGACCTCTTTTTTGCCTAAAGCAGTGATTCTCAGAGTGTGATTCCCCCAGACCAGCAAGAAAAGCTGCATCTGGAAACTTAATTAGAAATGAAAATTCACACCCTTTACTCCAGGCCTACTGAATCAGAAACTCTGGGTATGTGGTCCAGACCTGTTTTAAAAAGCCTTCTAGATGATTCTAAGCTTGCTAAAGATTGAAAACCACTGGCCCAAAGAATAAAATTCTAGCACCTGTGAATAATATGTAAAGTTCTTCATGATCTAGCCTCTGAATACATCCTCAGCTTTATCTTCTATTAGTTTTTTTTTTTGTTTTGTTTTGTTTTTTCCCCAGAGCCCGCTGACTTTATTACTCACAAATGCTAAGTTATTTTAAGGCCCATGCTCTATTTCTCTCATACTTCTCTACCTAGATTCTCCTTCCCAGCCATGCTTGTCCCTTATATCTCTATTTCTCTTGACAAACAACAGTTTATGCTTCTGAATCTAGCTCTGGGATTTTGTGGCTTAGGTACTTTCCTAATGACTCTCCACTCATATTATTTCTTTGAAGCACAGTCTTTAAATGTTGCACTTAATCCTGCTATGTTATAATTTTCTCTTTGAATGCCTGTGTTTCCTCCTGGGCTGTGGGCTCCCTGAGACCTGGAACTATTTCTTACTGATTCATATCCTCAGTATCTAGCATAGTGTTGAAAATAGATTAGACCTATAAGTAAATGTTAAACTGAAATTTTATAGCTCTCTTGAGTTACAAAGGGGAAAGCTACATCCTCAGGAAAAGGCAAATTTTCTGATCCCAGGATAATATTGTAAATTAGCCTAACTAGGATGATACCCAGAAATCTGCATTTTTGGCAGATACCCAGTAAATCTCACACAGGTAGTCCTCAAAAAGTCTTTAGAAAAATTAAAATACATCTATCCAGAGTTTTCAACACTAACCCAAAGATGGAAAAAAAAAAAAATTTAGTCCTTTAAAACCTAGGAAAATTCTGACATATTTGGCTGTATTAAAATTTAAACTTTTATATGTAAGAAAATAGCACAGATACACTAAAAAAACTCAAATTGGAAAAATGTTTATGATCCTATCTAATAAAGAGGGAATATGCTAATTGACCTTCATGCCGTTGCAAAGATGGTGGCACCCACAGCCAATAAGGAGGGAATATGCTAATTGACTGCCCCACCCTCAAAGATGGTGGGGCCGATAGCCAATAAGGAGGGAATAGGCTAATTGACTTCCCCACCCTCAAAGATGGCAGTGCCCACAGCCAATAAGGAGGTAATATGCTCGACTGCCATGCCCTCAAAGTTGGTGGTGCCCAAACGCCCCACATGCCTGCCTCTGGAGTCCCCCAGTCCCCTCAACCCCCCAACCTCCCTGGGCCAGCCTGACGCGCAGGCAAGCCTGAGATGGCGGCTGCCCAGCCAACACCCAAGGTTCAGGCAAGCCTTAGATGTTGGGCTGCTCAGAGCCGCCCGAGGCTCAGATAACCAGGGCCAGCAGTGGCATCACCTTTCCCTGATCGCTGGGTTGCCTCCGGCCCCTGAGGGCTCCCGGACTATGAAAGGGCACCCCACCTCCAGTTCATGAATTTTTATGTACCGAGCCTCTAGTATTTTTTTATTTATGGTAGACCTAATTTCATTGTTTTATAAAAAGTTAAATAAAAAGGAACAACTAAAAAAATATGGCATATAAAAATGTGCCAAGAATATGGAAAGCCCAGAAAGAAAAATATACACACTATTGGATATACAACATGGGATAAGTTACAAGGAAACAAGAATTTACTCCATATTGGTATGTATCTATGTTGCTGTTGGAACTCAGTTCCTTCATCCTGTTCCACTATGCCAATTGTTGGGTCCGAGGGGCTGGACCCCCTTGATCACCAGGTATTCAATGACAGAGAAGCTATGAGAAGTTGTGGATATATATGAAAGTCTTTATAGTGGGAGCCAGTGGCCAAGTAGCATTGCTAACAAGGAGCCACTAAACAAAACAGTTCTTCAAAGCAAAGTCCCATACAGTAGCTGCACACCAGTACATCTTTCCCACACAGCAGCGGGAACCTCTGGATCTAAAGCCATTATTTGAGCAGCCACATGCTGCCTGTTGGTCATTAACATTTTATACTACTTAGACAAAAGAGGGTTCTTGCCAAATAGTGACCTCAGTCTTTTGATTTATGAAAGGGTACACTTGTGCAGTGTACATACAGATTACTGTGGCCTTGCTCTTGCACCTGTGTATAGCATCTTAGCCTTGAACACTTAAGATTCCCACACTCAGAATGGCCTTGAACATCTGATGTACTCTGAATAGGCCCATCACACTCTAATTGACATTGAACATCTGAATAGGGTCCCCACAGTTGGTAAATTGTATTGAAAGAAATTTTTGTAATATCTATCAAATGTTAGATGCTGTTCAAAAGTTACACACCTAGGAATTTACCCTCTGAATGTGCCAACAAAAGCATGTGAGAGTATCCTCATCACTGTGTTTGCAATAGCCACAAACAAAAAGCAATCTAGAAGTACATTATGTGCCGTCATCTATATACAGTGGAATATGCCACTGAAAAGAAAAGTCTTGAGTACAGCTCCCAGGCACATCAGGTTAAAAATAAAGTATTATAGCAATATACATAGATTGTTCACATTGGTTAAAAACTTACAGATACACATTAAATTGTTCTGGAATACAATAATTCTCACCTTTGGAAAGGGGTCTGTTTGTCTGTTGTACTTTTCATTTTATCAAACCTTACATTTGAATTTGAACTAAATGTGAATTGCTTTTTATTTAAAATGTTTAAAATTATTTTAATGCTCTCTTGTTTGAACATATACTTCTTAGGCTAAAAATAGTTATTTTATATTGGTATCTCGTGTGTGCGGGTGTGTGTATGTGTGTTTTTGTGAATTTTAATGTTGAGCTATTCGTTTTATCAGGTGATTGCCCATTGATTGTTCAGTTTGCTGCTAATGATGCAAGACTTTTATCTGATGCTGCTCGTATAGTCTGTCCTTATGCGAATGGAATAGACATTAACTGTGGTTGCCCTCAGAGGTAAAGCTCAAAAGAAGTTGGAAGAATTTTCAAAAAGATTAGGAAAAAACTATGTGAACATGGTAAACTATCTTTCTAGTTTTCCAATAATTACAAAGTAAGGAAAATAGTTAAAAGCACTTGGGCTCTAACTAAGAATTAAAAATAAGGAAAGATTATTTAGGAACATACATGCAGAGGTATTTGCTGATGGCTGAAACAATGTATAGACTCCTTGACAGCTGTTTTATCTTACCTAACCTCTAGAATTTTTTTAAAGTATGGATCTGCCTTGAACCTCATCCATAAGTAGTTATATGAGACACCTGATGTTTATAGCAAATTCTAAAATTTATTTTTACTGTCATGTCAGACATATGTGCTCTAGAAACTATGTTCCTATGATTTGGGAGCTCACCACTTATTTTCTGCTAATTAATTTTATTTATAAGAATACCTTATTATAATTACTTTTCTTTCCCCTAGTTGATTCTAAATAACTGTTTATTTGTAGGATGTACTTATTTTGACAATATCCCTATATTTCTGACACAATAATTCAAAATGTGTCCAATTAATAAAATCAAATGTTTTGAATACAGCATAATCCAAATCAGATTAGACATATTTGTATACTCATTAGGAGAGTTAAATAAGCTATTTAGTCATGTTGGAATGCTATAAGCCAAACTTGTCTCTCTACTATTAAGACTAATAAATCCTCTTATTATGTATAATAAACATCAAATTTGGAATTTAAAAAATCTGAAATAATTGAAATTAATTACAAGTACTTAAATCTGTTTTGGTTGAATGGATAGTAATTTAATTTTCTGACTTGCCAATGAAAACCATTTCCTGTAAGTACTTTTTGAACTGGAAACCTGTTTTCCTAATTTTAAATTGGTCCACTTAGAAATGTTGGGTCTGCCCTCACCGGTTTGGCTCAGTGGATAGAGCATCAGCCTGCCCTATCCAACTGAAGGGTCCCAGGTTTAATTTCAGTCAAGGGCATGTACCTTGGTTGCGAGCACATCTCCAGTAGGAGGTGTGCAGGAAGCAGCTGATCGAAGTTTCTCTCTCATCTATGTTTCTACCTCTATAGCCCTCTTCCTTTCTCTCGGTAAAAAAAAAAAAAAAAAAAAAAAAAAAAAATCAATAGATATATATATTTTAAAAAAATCTTTTTAAAATATATATATCTATCTATATATATATATAGATAGATATATATATTTTAAAAAGAAACGTTGGGTCTATGAATTGTAAAAATCTGATTCCATTCAAGATTGCTAGATAGAAAAATAGTAGATGTACTTATAGTGCCTTTAGAAATGTATGTATCTTCTTTTTCAACTACAGTTTATTTGTGGTTGTGTTTGCTTCATAAAGGTGGGCAATGGCTGACGGTTATGGAGCTTGCTTAATAAACAAGCCAGAGCTTGTTCAAGATATGGTGAAACAAGTAAGAAATCAAGTGGAAAATCCCAGATTTTCAGTATCTATTAAAATAAGGTAAAAATATTTTAACCTGTTGACAGAAAGTTCTTAGACAATAAAAGGATATTCCTTCTGTTTGGTGCTGCAGGGTTGTCAATCCTTAATTTGCAGGTGGTGTATAGAAATGTTGAAACAAGATATTTAGTAAATGGATATATACGGTATTTTTTTTATATATATATAATCTAGAGTAATTTCCTCTTTGTATTGTCTAACAGAAATGAAAACTTCCCTTTATTATTAAATACTTTTATCCAATCCTGGCCAGTGTGGTTTGGTTGGTTGAGCATCCCAGGCACCAGGAGGTCACCAGTTCAATTCCTGGTCAGAGATATGCCCCAGTTTGGAGTTTGCTCCCCGGTGTGGTGTACGTAGGAGACAACTAGTTGATGTTTCTCTCTCATCAACGTTTCTCTCCTTTTTTTAAAAGTTAATTCTGTGGGGGGGAAAAACTTTAAAACTCTCCTGAAAAAGAAACCCTTAACTTTTTCTATGTACTACTTAATTAATGCTAAGATACATTTTGGTACCAAGAGTAGAAAATAAAATGGTATTTGCACTAAAATTTCACAATGAACATAAACCAGGAATCAGTTTTTTTGTGACAGATGGAAAACATATTTTATGATAAATGGGTATTATATTCTCCCATTTGGGGAATGCTCATACACAAGCAAATATTATTAGGATAGCATCTTTCAATTTATGTGTGGAGTATTTGGCTAACATTTTCAGTTTTGTAAACCACAGGAGAGGAGCACTAGATAAGATAAAACTTGTCATCCTATTATTGCCAATAGTGAAATAGCTACATTTGAAATCTTAAATTGGAACTGATCCCTGAGCAAAAAAAAACTTACTGATAGTGGCATATAGTGATAATATGATGTAGAAAAACTAACTACATACGGTTTTATATGAAATATTATTGTATTAGTTATTAATTTTAGCTTTGATTTGTGTGCTATAAAAAGATGGCTATAATTTTAAAATTATAGGATCCATGATGACCTTGCAAGAACTGTGGATCTTTGTCGAAAGGCTGAAGCAACGGGAGTCTCCTGGATTACAGTCCATGGGAGAACCGTTGAAGAAAGACACCAGCCAGTTCACTATGAAGCCATTAAAATAATTAAGGAAAATATGTCTATACCGGTTATTGCTAATGGAGACATCAGAAGCTTAAAAGAAGCAGAAAATGTGTGCCATATTACTGGCACAGATGGTAAGAAATAAGTAGCCGAATTTTTGTCTTTTAAGTAGCAAAAAAAAAGGGGGGGTGGGAGACTAATGTTAATGTTTTCATTACTTTTCATTAAATTGGAACTATATTTTCCTCTTATGTTGGTTTCAGCTAAGCAACTTATTTAAGTATGTTAACTCTTCTAGTCAGAGACCGTAGATTAGTTGAGGTAAATTTATTCTTTATACTGCCACCATCATATCCATTGAAAGACTAGTTAAGAATCTTACAGATAGCCTGTTAGTAAAATAGAACACCTAGACTAGAATAGAGAGTGAGCGAACACAAGAGTATTCATAGGAACCAAAAGAACCCCAGACATCTATGCAGTTTCCTTATCCCCTTAAATTACGGGCACACCTATTGTTAGGTAATCTGTGATACCTATTGTTAGGTAATCTGCGGGAGAATGCAGATAAAACTTAACTTCGAGCATGCCCAATTTATGACAATTTGGATTTGCCCTTAACAGAAAGCATAAAGATTAATTGCTTAATGTAGAAGTCTTAGTAAAATAAAATAAAAAATCTGTAACTACCTTTAGACTTGCAAAAAGAACTATAAAAATAATTGAATTACACAGACTAATATCAGGGTATTGTGAAACCTTGTAATATACTTTATTTTTTAATACTCTCAGTTTATTTGAGTGTGGCCTTGTAACTATGAGTTCTTAATATGTGGGTAAATGTTCTATGCTTTAATTTGTAGGTGTGATGGTTGCAAGAGGACTCTTAGCAAACCCAGCCATGTTTGCTGGATATGAAGAAACCCCCCTGAAATGTATCTGGGATTGGGTTGACCTCGCTCTTGAACTTGGAACTCCTTTTATGTGTTTCCATCAACATTTAATGTACATGATGGAAAAGATAACTTCCAGGCAAGAAAAAAGAGTATTTAATGCTTTGTCAAGCACAGCAGCAGTCTTAGATTACCTTACAGACAATTATGGGATTTGATTGGACTTCCTAAATTGTTTTAATATGTACTTTAAAGGAATTGTGTTTTTTAAAAGTTTTTAAATAAATTTTTTATTTTAATACTAAAAGTATGACTCATATAGTATCTGTAAATTAACATGAACTATGTTTTTAATAAGAAAAAGTACAGAGAAATGACAAAACAAATGCCAACTTCTGTAAAATGAAAAGGAACACGACAGCCAAAACCAGTTTGGCTCAGTGGATAGAGCATAGGACTGTGGACTGGAGGGTCCCAGATTCAATTCCGGTCAAGGGCATGTACCTTGCTTGCAGGCGCATCACCAGTGGGGTGTGTGCAGGAGGCAGCTGATAAATGTTTTTCTCTCATCGATGTTTCTAACTCTCTTTTCTCTCTCCTTTCCTCTCTGTAAAAAATCAATAAAATATATTTTTTTAAAAAGAAAAAGAAAAGGAACAAGACGTTCTATATAGAATCGCATTCATGACTTAGATTAAAAGTTCAAATTGAAAAATCAAAGTGCGACTTCCTAATTCATGTATTACACTCCTCAAGGTATTTGTTTTAAATAGTATATGGCTGAATTTAATTAGATTTTGTTTCTATAATTTAACACTTACGTTTCCTTGAAATTATTCAATGACACCCAATCATAACAACAACAAAAAAAAAAGAACCCCTAGTGTAAGGAGCCTCTGGGACATCTTCAAGCATGCCAACATTTGTATCTTGGGGGTGCCAAAAAGGAGAGAGCAAGAAATTGAAAATCTATTTGAAAAAATAACAGAAAACTTCCCTTACTTGGTGAAGGAAATAGACATAAAAGTCCAGGAAGTATAGAGTCCCAAACAAGATGACCCAAAGAGGCCCATGCCAAGACACATCATAATTGAAATCCAAAAGGTTAAAGACAAAATGAATCTTAAAAAGCAGCAAGAGAAAAGCAGTTACCTACAAGGGAGCTCCCATAAGGTTATCTCAGTGGAAACTGCAGATCAGAAGAGATTGGCAAGAAATATTCCAAGTAATGTAAAGCAAAGACCTACAACCAAGATTATCCAGCACAGTTTTTCAAACTCAAAGGACAGATAAAGAACTTCTCAGACAAGAAAAAGCTAAAGTTTATCACCACCAAACCAGTATTACATGAAATGTTAAAGTGTCTTTGAGAATAAGGAAATATACAGGGTGTCCCCCAAAAAATGTATACACACTTTAACAACTGATAGCTCAATTTTGAAAATGAAATGAATTTTAATATATACTGCTTTATAGTTATTCAAAGTGTCTGGGAAACCCTATATATATATAATGGCAATTCATATCAACAATTGAATTTAAAAACAAGTAGAACTTAGACTCAAAAGATACAGAGAACATTTTGATGGTTGCTAGATAGGAGGGGGATTGCAGAGATCAGTTATAAAGATGAAGGGATTAAGAGGCACTAATAGTTAACTGAATAGGCATAAGGATGTAAAGTACAGCAGAGAATATCCTATATAATAAAGAGGTAATATGCAGATTGACCATCAATCCAACACACAAGATGGCCACTGCCATGTGGTCATAGATGGTTGCCCCCATGTGGACACAAGATGGGCAGTTGGGGGGACGGGGCCTGCAGGGGAGGACAGTTTAGGGGCAGCCAGTCTGGCAAGTGTGGGCAGTTGGGGGCAGTTGGGCCTGCAGGGGAGGGCCATTAGGAGCGAACAGGCTAACAAGGGGTGACGGGGCCAGCAAGGAAAGTCAGGGGAGAACCAGCCAGCAGGGGAAGACAGGGGTGACCAGGCCAGTAGAGGAGAGCAGTTGGGGCAATTGGGCCAGCAGGGGAGCAGTTAGGGATTGATCAGGCTGCAGGGGAGTGTTTAAGGGTGATCAGACTGGCAGGCAGAAGCAGTTAAGGATAATTAGGCAGGCAGGCAGGTGAGCAGTTGGGAGCCAGCAGTCCTGGATTGGGAGAGGGATGTCTGACTGCCCACTTAGGTCCAGGCCTAAACGGGCAGCTGGACATCCCTTAAGGGTCCCAAAGTGGAGAGGGTGAAGTCTGGGCTGAGGGACACACATCCCCTCAATGCACGAGTTTCATTCACCGGGCCTCTAGTAATATTTTAATAACTATATAAGGTAGCAGATGAGTGCGATTTATCTGCACGATCACTTAATGTCTGATCCTAGGTGTCCGCTGGAAACTAACAAAACACTGTATGTCAACTGTAACTGAAAATTTTAAAAATGGTAATAAATACATAACGTTTTAAAATACTAATATAATGCAACCCTGGGAAATGGTAACAGAAAGAAAAGACCCATGCCTCTATAGTTTCCCTTTCCTAACAGTCTCCAAGCATCCTAACGTTGATTGCCTCGCCCCAGCCCACGGACAAATACAGTAAAACACAAAGTACGTTTCCACTGTCCCGCGGACCCAGAAGAACAAAACGATGCTCAACTAACCCAATCCCAACCCTTCTAATTGAACTACAACTTATTTCTGGGCAGTGAAACCGATTCTATCACAAACAGCCTGGAGAGAAAAGGAGTCCGTTTCAAACGTGCTCACAGCATCCGTCCTACCCTCTCTAACCCTCCCCTCCACCCGCCCCCCACCCCAAACTCCACCAGAAAACGTCGCTTAAGGACCCCTGCCCCCCTAATCCACACTTTCACACATCGGGAGTCCGAAGCACCCATGGAGCAAAGTCTGTCTTCCTCCGATCCCATCACAATGAGAAACCTAACATGGCTCATCCTCGCCTTCGCTACGCCCGGAGCCCGCGGCGACCCGCACCCGGGCGGGGTGGGCGGGGAGCGGGCGGCCCGGCGGCGCGGGGTGCGGCGCCCCTCCCCCCCCGCGCGGCGTGTGACGTCGGCGGCGCCCACGGAGCGGAGCGGCGGCCGCGCGGGTAAGGCCGGGAGGGACCGGGCCGCGGGCCTCCTCGCGGGGCGGGGGCGCCCGGCCGGCGGGGCGCGGGGGCGCGGCGGTTGGGCCCGGGGGGGCTGGCCCTGCCTCCGGCCCGTCGATCCCGCGTTCGCCGATCGGTCGCAGGTCCCTCCCCAGCGCGGGCCGCGGGGAGCTGGCGTTGGGGGGCCGGGCGGGCCCCCTGCCCCCTGCGCCCCCTCCCGCCCGGGGCCGGCGCCGGCGCCTCCACTTGGGGGACCCCGTCCCTTCCCCGGACGGAAGCACTGCGCCCGGGGGGCCGGTCACCCCGTTTTCGCGGAAAGGCAGCCCAGTAAGATGAGTGCCTCTCTGTTTAGGTGAAAAGAGAGAAAAGAAAAAAATGACCCTCCAGTGGACCGCAGTGGCCAGCTTCCTGTATGCGGAAATAGGACTCATTTTGCTCTTCTGCCTGCCTTTCATTCCTCCTCAGAGGTAGGAAACCTCCACCTGGTTCCAGTAATCAATATGGGCTGTTGAGTGTGATACGAAACATTTTTTTTTCTTCTTCTTAAGATTTTAAAGTTTTGAGTGCTGATGATATAAAAGGTGTCCTTCCAAATAAACTCTAAAGGAAATAGCACTATAGGAAACTTTTTGTTACACGTAACAAATGAATTCGCTTTCTCACTTCTAAAAGGTAAAGGGCAAGTCCTTTGGTTTCTGTTGATTACAGATAGAATAAAAGGTTATACTTTTCACACCTGTCTTGCCACAGGTTCCACCTTTGTTTCATGGCCCAGAATTGGAAGAGGGAACTGAATGAAGGCAGATGGGTCAAAGGGTGCGGCAGTGTCCCACTGGGGCCAAGGTCCATGGGGAAACTTGAGCCACTAAAGGATTCTTAGTTTTGGCCTATGTAATCAATTAGTAGTTTCCTTAATACTTAATTGAAATTTCACTACTTCCCCCCCTCCCACCACACACACACACACACACACACACACACACAGAGAGAGAGAGAGAGAGAGAGAGAGAGAGAGAGAGAGAGAGAGAGAGAGAATTGATGAGTATATGTTAAAAGTGCTGATAATGAAAAGTATCCGAGCCATACGTTAGCGTTCCTTCCTTAGGAAAGGACCTTCGGAGGTCTTTGCTGACCATTTTCATTTAAGCATTGCCTCATTTTACCCTGTGATAATAATCCATTTGTTGGGAGTTTAGTTGTAGATCCAGAAACTTGCTAGTATGAATGGTGAAATATACTTGTCATAAAAATGTTACAACACATTGGTTCATGCTCATGGCATGAAAGAAAATCTCACATCAATGAAATCCTAGAGATGACCCACTGATCTTTTAGTAAGATCCCATGACTGGGAGAGACGTAAGCAAGTTTTTTTACCTCTGCTCAGGGTTCAGGTCATCTTTTACAATGCTTACCTTGTTTCTTACCTCCCTGGATTTCTACTCACTGCAGTCTTTGCCAGTGATACCATCACTTTTTTCTTATTAAAGAAAAGAGGTTGAATCATACTGTAGGAAGAGGCCTTAGGGATAATTGCATCCAATCCAATTATCTATAAGGAAGGTGGTCTAGCTGATCCATGGCAAAGATTCCAGGCAAAGATCTAGCTTTCAGTCTAGTGCTCTTTCTACTCCATCCTACCTATCCGTCATCATCTTGATTAGGTTTCTTTGCTTTTTATGAAGTTTTATTGATTTCAGAGAGGAAGGCAGAGAAAGAGAGAGAGAAACATCAATGATGAAAAAGAATCAATGATCACCTGCCTCCTGCATGCCCTGTATAGGGAATTGAGCCAGCTTGTGCCCTGGCTGGGAATGGAACTGTGATCTGGGTCCTAGGTCGATGCTCAACCACTGAGCCATGCAGGCCGGGTTTGATTTCGTTTCTAATCCTCAGTAACATCCTGTTGAGCGTTCTTGCTAATAGTAGCAAGGACTTGCAAAAAAATATTTTTGTCATTTTATTTTTTTCTCCATCAAAATGACCATAAAATTTGGGTCTTTTTATTCCTGCCAAGTATAATTTTTCCCCATCTTGATCAAGTAACTATTTGATAGGTGTGTAAATAGATGCATACATTACATAAATATACCCTCATACATGAGAAAATATGGTATATTTGTACACATACCGTTTATGATAATGTCCTTTGAGTGTATCTCCATCTTTATATCTTTTATATGTGTATCACCATAATCTTTTTAAAAGATCTTTTATTGACTTTTAGAGAGAGAGAGAGAGGAAGAGAGAGAAACAGTGATGTGAGAGTGACACATCATTGGCTGCCTCCTGCATGTGCCCTTACCAGGAATCTAACCGGCAGTTGCTTGGTGCATCGGATGATGCCCAAGGTTTACCATAATCTGTCCAGGGTTTACCATAATCTTCAAGGACTTCAGTCTTTATTTCATTTGGCTCTCCATTCTTTTCTCATATAACCCACTAGTTAGATATATACTCAAAGGTCAGAGTGCTTGGGTTTATATCCCAACTCTCCAAGTTATTCCAAAATCTTGGACAAGTGATTTAGCATCTCTGGTCAGTTTCCCCATTTATAAAATGGAGGTAGAACTGGTATACACCTTATATAGTGGATGTAGTCACAAAATTAGCTAAAACATGTAAAAATGCTTAGAATCACAGTATAGCAAGGGCTCAATATATGGTAGCTATTATTAACTGTTCCTTGAATTCAGTGTTAGTATAAACTGCTAGTTGTTCCCTGTAGTTGTGTTTCCTTTTAACACTGGCCCTTGAAATGTGAGTTTTCATCTGGACCTTGACCATGGTATTTGCCACTTATGTACTCCTCCTAAAAATATGAAGTTTTTATCGTGTAAAATTTAAATAGCATTTTTGAAATTGAAACAGAGACAAAAAAAAAAACACTTAAACTTTTATTAGTCTTCCTCTCCCCACCAACTTCAAGTTATTACTTAGAATTGTTTTCAAAACTCATTAATAATTTGTCATAACCTTAAAGTAAAACTTTTTAAAAAGCTGTGTTTTAAGTTTATTTACATGTTTATTATATTTACACTAGAAACCTGGTGCACAAATTCGTGCACAGGTGGGGTCCCTTGGCCTGGCTGGCAATCAGGGCCTATTGGGGTCAGCCGGCCAAAGGAGAGGGACCACAGGATGTTTGCTGTGGGAGTGCGCTGAGCACCAGGGGGCAGCTCCTGCGTTGAGCATCTGCCCCCTGGTGGTAGTGCACATCATAGCCACTGGTTGACTAGTCATTCAATCAGCCAGTTGTAATAGTCACTTAGGCATTTACATATAGATATAGATATAGATATATAGACAGATATATATATATAGGTATATATAGATATGTATATATATCTTTGGAATCAGTAAACATGTTATTCATTTTAAATGTTCTGTGCAAAGTTTGTTACCCTTTCAATTGTGTGATGTTACTTTGTCACTTTTTGTCATTTATAATCCATACATTCTTACCTCTATGTTTTTGTTTATACTTTTTAATTCATCCATTCTAGAATATTTATTATCCCATTTTATTTCCTCTACGTTTAAATCTTGACTGTGGTAACTACATGGGTGTATGCATATATATGTATTTATGTATAGATTCATCAAGCCATATATTTAAGACTAGAGGCCCAGTGCATGAAATTCGTGCACTGGAGGGGTGTCCCTCACCCAGACTGCACTCTCTTCAATCTGGGACCCTTCGGGGGACATCCTTCTCACAATCCGGAACTGTTGGCTCCTAATCACTCACCTGCCTGCCTGATTGTCCCTAACTGCTCCCCTGCCAGCCTGATCACCCCTACTACTCCCCTGCTGGCTTAATTGACACCTAACCACTCCCTTGCCAGCATGATTGACACCTAACTGCTTCCCTGCCAGCCCAATCACCCCCAACTGCCCTCCCCTGCAGGCCCGGTCACCTCCAACTGCCCTCTCCTGCCGGCCATCTTGTGACAACGTGGGGACACTCATCTTCTGAGGATGTGGGGGCACCCATCTTGTGATGATGTGAGGGCAGCTATCTTGTGGTGGCCATCTTATGACAATGTGGAGTGGGCCATCATGTGACAATGTGGGGGTGGCCGTCTTAGTGGGTGAGGGTCAATTTGCATATTACTTCTTTATTGTATAGGATTTTTATACTTTGCTATGTGTATGTAATACCTCAATGATTATTGAAATTTCTGATAAAAGGGAAATTGTACTCTGTAAAAATAGTTTAAAAAATAGTTTAGAGAGTTGGACCCCTCACACCTCAAATGTTGCTAATTGTTGGACCAATATTTGTTATTTCTGAGTTATTACCAAGTGGTAACTTCTATCAGCAATATAACATTTTACTATAATAATTTCTTTTTGAGATTTTAATCATGAGTCTTGCCTTGAAGTTATTTTCACTGTATAACATTTAAGATACCAGACAGAAGATAATCAAATGTCAGGTCATTATTAAATTTGGAAGAAGTTCTTTATTTTATGAGATGGTCTTATGAATTAATAATGCTCTGATATAGCTGAAACTGGTTTGGCTCAGTGGATAGAGCATCGGCTTGCAGACTGAAAGGTCCCAGGTTCAATTCTGGTCAAGGGCATGTACCTTGGTTGCAGGCACATCCCCAGTAGGGGGTGTGCAAGAGGCAGATGATCGATGATTCTCTCTCACGGATATTTCTAACTCTCTATCCTTCTCTCTTCCTCTCTGTAAAAAAATCAATAAAATATATTTTTTTAAAATAATAATGCTCTGATATGACATAAAAATAAATTTTTGTTATTCTTTTTACTTACTACATAATTACCAAATGTCAATTCAATATTCAGAAAATACTTCAAAACATTATTTTGATTTTTAAAAAAAATATTTTATTGATTTTGTACAGAGAGGAAGGGAGAGAGATAGTTAGAAACATCGATGCAAGAGAATCATCGATCAGCTGCCTCCTGCACACCCCCTGCTGGGGATGTGCCCACAACCAAGGTACATGCCCTTGACCGGAATCGAACCTGGGACCTTTCAGTCCCCAAGCCGATGCTCTATCCATTGAGCCAAACCGGCCTCGGCCATTATTTTGATATTTTTAATACCTAATGTAATTGTATTGCTTTTCAGATGGCAGAAGATTTTTTCATTTAATGTCTGGGGTAAAATTGCAACTTTTTGGAACAAGGCTTTTCTTTCTATTATAGTCCTATTGATTGTCCTGTTTCTAGGTAAGTACTATTCCTCCTTTGAATGAGCTTACTCTTAATTTTTATTAATGAATTCAGTGTTTTTTAATTAATTAAGTTGGTGTTGCTATTGATACACAGTTGACTTTGTATAGTATATCGATAACATAATAGAGTAGATATTGATATTTGTAAATAGACAGTTAATATTACTATTATATATACTGAAGCATAAATTTCAACAGAGTACAGTGGTTCTTGGCCTCTTTTTAAGTTGTTTGGAGATTTAAGTATACCAATGTATAGCCCCCTTTTCAGAGATACCAGCTATATAACCTTTTCTAACTGTGGTGTCCTAGGCACCAGGGCCTTAGCTGTCAGGAAGTCATAGAGGAATAGAATCACTAGGCCCTCAAAAGAAGGCTTAGATGCAGATTGTGATTCTTGATTGGATTCTGATTAAAAAACAACTACAACACGGACATTTGAGGACTACTGCAAACATTTGAATATGGACTGATGGTTAGAGAGTATTGGGGAATTTTTTGTTAACCTTATTGTGATACCAGTGTTGTTAGATAGCATAAGTTAGTAACCTATAGTCTGCAGAACAAACGCCAATTTTGGAAATTAAAGTTTTAGTGGAATATAACCGTGCCCCTTTGTCTAAGTATTGTCTATGCATGTTTCCATGGACAACTACAGAGTACAGTAGTTGCAGCAGACACAGCATATGGCCAAAAGCATTCACTATCTGCCCTTTTACAAAAGTTTACCAACACCTGTCACAGGAATATGTCCTTATTTATAGAAACTACATGCTAAAATATTACAAGTGTTATGATATTTTCAAATTAATTTCAAATGGTCAAAAAAATTAAGACAGATAAAGCAAATATGGGAAAAGGCAATTATTGAATCTAGGTGGTGGAAATATGGGTGTTTATTATACCAGTTTTTCAGCATGTTTGAAATTTTCATGATAACATCTTAGATATTAGATGTAATTAGATAGTATCTTAGATATTAGATGTAAACCCTTAAGATTCTTGTCAAACCAGAAATTCCTTGAGTCTAACTAATTATATTTTGTAGAAGTAGCTGAGCTTAGAGAATTAAGTAACTTTTCTGACCTCCCAGCTACTTCTTGGCACTTAAGCTTTAAAAAAAAAAAAAAAAATGTATTGACTAATTAAAGAGAGAAAGAAATAGATTTGTTGTTCCACTTAATTATGCATTCATTGGTTGCTTCTTACATGTGCCCTGACTAGGGATCAAACCCACAATCTTGGCTTATTGGGATGACGCTCTAACCCAGTGGTCAGCAAACCGTGGCTCTCGAGCCACATGCAGCTCTTTGGCCCCTTGAATGTGGCTCTTCCACAAAATACCACATGCCAGCGCACACGTACAGTGTGATTGAAACTTCATGGCCCATGCGCAGAAGTCGGTTTTCGGCCTGGGTGAGTCTGTTTTGAAGAAGTGGCGTTAGAACACTCAAGGGGCCAAAGAGCCACATGTGGCTCGTGAGCTGAGGTTTGCTGACCACTGCTCTAATCAAATGAGCTACGCAGCCAGAGCTGGCACTTCAGCTTTTAATACACACTGCAGAGTATGTTTTCCCTCAGAATTCCCAAAGAGTGTTGTGTTTCAGGTTAAGTTTTAGAAGGGCCAACCTGGAACCATAACCACCACATATGTCACTGTTTTGTGAGAAAATGTTTCCTACATGCCATAACACCAGCCTCTGAAACGGAATCCTTTTAATAGGCCTGGGACCAACTGAGAGGGTATGACTAGGTAACTGCATGAGGATGTGAATGGATTTCTGCTTCATTCGAAATGTCAGTATTTGTCTCATGGTACATTATTGTTCATGTTATTGATTTAATCTCCAGAGTAACACTAAGTGAGTAAACAATAAGGAAAACAGATCCCACTTTGCCACCAGCCAACTGAATGTCCTTTGGAATGGCATTTCCTCTGAGTCTGGTTTCTCTATTTGCAATGTGAAGGGAGAGGAGATGGTCTCTGCAGCTTTTCCTAGCTCTAAAGTGTTTTGAGATCTAACTCTAAAATTATAACAAGAATTTCTAATGAGAGCTGCCACATACCCGTATAAGGAATGGAAGCTTTAGTCGTGGTTTATTTTATCAGAAACCAATTTGAACTCACTTGAGCAAGAAGGAGGGATTTGATAGTAAAATACGCAGCTGTTTCAGAGTAAGCCAGGGAAGGGAGGAAGCCAGATTCCAAATAGGAACTTATAGGAACTGAAGTGTCCCTGTTGTGTCCACTTGGCAGCCGTTTCTGAATCCCAAATCATGACTGTTGACTGTAGCTCACATCTGTGGGCGGAGTGCGAAATTCCCAGAGAAGAAGGAAGCCATGGATGGCAAAGGCAGGCAGATAGGGACTTACTTTTAAAAGCCTCAGTGTGTACATCTGAGAATAGGGTAAGAACATTTACTTCCTGAAGGGCTGGAAGGTTTGAATGCGGTAACATAAGGACAGGGCACCATCCAGTGTTCTTGTCTCTAGAGTGACAGTGGCGTAAATAATGCAAAACTAGTTACTCAAGCTTAATTTATATTTTACTTTGGAATTTATTTCATTTTTCTTATTGCTTGTCTTCAGTAAAGTAATCATGACAAGATATTTATATATAGTCCTAGAGCCAATACCAACTCAAAAGTGCATGTGCATCTGTTGTTTCGCAGTTGAGAATAGGCAGAAGGAAAGCTAAACACCCAAAAGTATGTTTAGTGTCAGTAGAAATTCATCCCAGGAAGTTTCCACGAGTGACCCAAAAAAGATTCTCTCCACATGGTTTATAGAAAATTGACTATACGCCAAAACCTCACCTTGTCATGGCTCCCATTCTACTTTTCAGACATAGTCTCCTAGTTATTATACAGGTGATTCATTCTATGGGTGGCTTTATGTGACAAACCACATTTATAAACTTCTTTGGCTTTATTCGTTAATTTTCAGCATTTCTGTGTAATGAATCCAGGAGTATTACTTCCATTTAATTTTGAAGGAAGCTGAGTCACAAGCATAATGGCCCTTGAAGTACTATTTGGTTCCTCTGTCCTGCTCAGAATAATTCATAATTACTATTTTGTTTGTGTTTTTAGTTATATTGTAGTGGTTAGAATGCTCTTACTATATTGTTGAAGCAATCTGAGAAATAACAAAAGGGAAATAACTATTAAAACCAAGGAAATTTTTAAAAGGTAATTTAAAGCTACCTTATATACTTATATGCAAACAAATTGAAAATGTAAATAAAATGGGTAATTTCGCAGAAAAATATAATTTACCAAATGAATCCTAATAGATCTAGAAAATTTAAGATATATGTTCAATTAATTTATGACAAAAGAGCCAAGAATATGCAATGGGGAAAGGCCAACCTCTTCAATAAATGGTGTTGGGAAAACCAGACCACTCTCTTACACCATACAAAAATTAGTTTAATATACACCTGAAACTAATACAAAATAATGTTAAATGTAACCTGTAATTGAAAAATAAAAATTTAAAAATTAATTTAAAATGTATTAAAGACTTGGACTTAAGACCTAAGACCATAAAAGTCCTAGAAGAAAGAATAGGTGGTAAATGTCTTGGCAATGATTTTTTGGATTAGACACCAAGAGCAAAGGCAACAAAAGCGAAAATCAATGAGTGTGACTACATGAAACTAAAAAGCTTCTGCACAGCAAAGGAAACTATCAACAAAATGACAGATGTCGTAAAATGTTTGTATGGTAAGAGAAGTAGGATTGTAGTGGAATATGACCTATGTTATTGTCAATAGACTAAAATTTAGTGAACCATTAGGGATAGAAAGAATAAAGGTTAATAGTTTTCAGTGTAGCTAAAGATGAGAGATGAATAGTAAAAAACAAAAATGCACTCAAGGTTTACTACTAGTATCCATGTACAGATCATCAGTTTTGAGCATGGTATCCTCCCCAAATATGTAGAGGAAAAGACAAAACAGCCCCTACCTAAAGTCCATCATTTAAAAGTTAGGTTAGGCCGAAACTGGTTTGGCTCAGTAGATAGAGCGTCGGCCTATGGACTGAAAGGTCCTGGGTTCGATTCCGGTCAAGGGCATGCGCCTTGGTTGTGGGCACATCCCCAGTGGGGGGTGTACAGGAGGCAGCTGATTGATGATTCTCTCTCATTGATGTTCCTGGTTCTCTATCCCTCTCTCTTCCTCTCTGTAAAAAATCAATAAAATATATTTTATAAAAATAAAAATAAAATAAAAGTTAGGTTATTCTAAAACTGCTTCCCATTTTAATTATAATTTTATATTCCTTTAGTTTTTAATGTGTTTTATTGAATTTTTTATTTTATTTTTTAGAGAGAGATGAAGGGAGAGGAGAGAAACATAGATTGGTGGCAGCCTCCTGCACACCTTCTACTGGGGGGATCCAGCTTGCAACCCAAGCATGTGCCCTGACTGGGAATCGCACTGTTGATCTCTCAGTGCATGGGACAACACTCAGCCAACTGAGTCACACTGGCAAAGGTTAATTTTATATTGTTAAAAGTAATGTTTTCTCTGTCTCTAATAGATGCTGTGAGAGAAGTAAGGAAATACTCCTCTACTGCTGTCATTGAAAAGAGCTCAACCAGCAGACCTGGTGCCCATGAACATACCCAGATGAAACTTTTTAGGTCTCAAAGAAATCTTTACATTTCTGGATTTTCATTATTTTTTTGGCTGTAAGTAAAAAAAAACCCACACACATACAATTTAAAAACATAAATTATGTTTCTCATTTTTTAACCAACACTAGATTTTTTTCTATAATATCTAGTATACTAACATCTTCGAAAAAGCATTCAAACTATATACCCAAATAAATAACAAGCAATGTGTAGTTATAGCTTGTAGGTTTGAAAGGTTAATAAACCCGCGTTAATAAACCCCTCTCCTCTCTGGAGCCTTGTCTCATACTGATCTCTGACATGTACACCACATTCTCCCACACTGACCTCCAGTGTTTGTTCATTCATTCTTGCAAGGAATATTTATTGAGTTAATAATGTCCCCAGCTCCTTCCTACTTCAGGGTCTTCACGCATGTTTTTCCTTTGTCTTTTCCCTCTTTCCCTGGCTAACCTTTTATCCTTCAGTCTCTTCTTAAAGGAAGCCACTGTGACCATCACTCCCCCAAAGTAAGCAGGCCTCCTCTTGCACACTCCCATAGAATGTATATATACTTTTCTTTTGAGTATCATTCATTCTTGTCATTTTAACTCTTGCCTCTCCAAATAGAACCTAAACTTTTGAGAGCAGAGACTTTGTCTCAGTTCTTGCTATGTTCTCAGGGCCCAAAACAGTGCTTCACACTTAGCAGTTCCTGAGGAAATGTCTGTAGAATGAATAATTGAAGATACTGGTTACTACTTCTAACCATGGGAGTTACCCATAAATGTGAATGAGTAGTTTCAGGTCATGACCAGTCCCATACGGTCCTCTTTAAATAGCAAATTTTGAACTGGGGAGTAGCGGGGGACTTCTTACTGGCCCTGCCACACTGTCTGAAATGCTGTTTCTGCTCCTCCTGGCTAGAGGCCTCTACAAAGAAAATTATTAAATTAGTAAGTACCATTGAACCTATATACCAAATGCTAGTCTTCTAACAAAGATTCTAAATGAATGAGACAAGGCATGTTTTGACTGGAAGACTTGGAATTTTTTTTTTAAATACTACTGTGTCCTCTCTAATCATCATCTCTCTCCACCACATACCTAAATGAAAGTTGTTTGACCAAGAAAATGTATTTTAACATTTTTATTTTCATTTTTTTAGAGTATTGAGACGCCTGGTTATCCTTATTACTCAGCTGGCAAATGAATTGTCAAACAAAGGAGTACTTAAAAATCAAGTAGAAAGTACTAACGAGGATGCCAGAAAATTAATGAAAGAGAATGAAAAACTAAAACAGGTATTTAAGTTTTCTTTTTTAAAATCTGTATAAATATTAATATTCCCAAGGGGTCGCATATTGTTTTTTAAAAAGAGCATTTGCTTGCACTGGCTGGTGTTTCCCAGTAGTTAGAGCATTGCCTGTGGACTGAAGGCTCCCAGGTTTGATTCTAGTCAAGGGCACATGCCTGGGTTGCGGGCTCAATCCCCAGAAAGGGGCATGCAGGAGGCAGCCAATCAACTTCTCCCTTTCCTTTCCTCTCCTCTCCGAAATCAATAAAAATGTTTTGTTTTGTTTTTAAGTAACCATTTAGATGGGAAGGGAGAATATCTCCATGTCCAGGGCCCCTGAACACTCCCTCCGAGGCCGAAGAGCTTGTGGGGTGGAGGACGGGGAGGGAGAGAAAGAAGAACATGGAAAAAAGGAAAGATACGAAATTACTTTGGGCATTTTTTTTTTCTTAAATTTAAAATTTAGAACTCAGATCTCAGATTAAGCCCCATGTTTTGCTAATCTGCTTTTCAATAAAAAGAATCAGTGGAACCAAGATGCAAAACAGATTTTCTCAAAGAAAATATTCCTAAAATAATGCAATAAGATTATTTTCTTATCATAGATTAATGAAATGCAAACAATTATATGTTAGACCAAGTCGTAGTTATGTAAAAAATAGTAACAGAGAATTCAAATCCTTATCCAAGTCCTAAAGCCTAGCCTCTTGTAGAAAGAACTAGGAGCACCACCCTTCATCAAACCTAAATGAGTTAGGTATTGCAGAGTACAATATAAAGCTTTCTAAAACCTATTAAATAAGTCAAAACACATTTCAAAAAATTGTGCTTGGTGCTGCAGTATCATGGTCACCTACTCAAAACCCTCTTTTACATTTGTTGATGTCTACCTCATTTCACTACAACAGAAAAGTGTATGTTTTTAAAGTTTTTTAAATATATATATATATATATATATATATATATATATATATATAATTGATTTTTTTACAGAGAGGAAGAGAGAGGGATAGAGAGCTTGAAACATCAATGAGAGAGAAACATTGACCAGCTGCTTCCTCCACACCCCCTACTGGGTATGTGCCCACAACCAAGGTATATGCCCTTGACCGTAATTGAACCTGGGACCCTTCAGTCTGCAGGCCTGCGCTCTATCCACTGAGCCAAACCAGTTTTGGCTAAAGTTTGTTTTGTTTGTTTGTTTTTTAAGAGAGAGAGAGAGATTGGTGTGAGAGTAAAAAATAAATTGGTTGCCTCCTGCACACAGCCCAACTGGGGACCGAATCCAAAACCTAGGTTTGTTCCCTGACTGGGAATTGAACTCACAACCTTTTAGTGTATGGCAGTGGTTGGCAGACTGAGGCTCCAGAGCTACATGCGGCTCTTTGGCCCCTTGAGTGTGGCTCTTCCACAAAATAACACATGCAGGCGTGCACGTACAGTGCCTTTGAAACTTTGTGGCCCATGCGCAGAAGTCTGTTTTCGGCTCTCAAAAGAAATTTCAATCGTTGTACTGTTGGTATTTGGCTCTGTTGACTAATGAATTTGCTGACCACTGGTGTATGGGAAGACACTCCAACCAATTGAGTCACACCAACCAGGGTCAAAAAGGTATTTTTATAGAAATAGAATTAAAAGCTGTTTCTTAGATTGTACTCAGCATCTTTTAAGGAAACTTTTAGAGAATAAGCATCAGTTTATTTTTTACTCTGTTTTGTTCTGTTTTAAAAGGCATTGATTCACAGATGTCATGTAAATTTCCCTTTGTAGTAAATATAGGTCTGGGAAGTCAAGCTGTTGATATTTCTGAATATAAAAGTAAGCTATCGGTTATTTTTGCCTTTTGGGGACTGTTTTAGCAACAGAATGAGCTTTATTTTGTACCTTAATATTATTTGCTTCATTTTCTATCATTTGACCTTTTTTCCCAGTGGTAAAAAGAAAACAAAATCCTCAAAGTTTTAATTAATATGAAGGCTAATCTCACAGTACACAGCCTTGTCTTTGTAGTCTAACCGTGTGCCTATATTGATTTAACATTATGCCCATCATGTCAGATTGATGAGTTGTATTGAATAAACTATTATTCTTTAGTTATTTGCTTCCTACTCTTCAGCTCTAAGGAAATGTAAATTGTTTTGTAAAATTTTGGTGCCATTATTTTTCTTATATACATGATAATTAATGTACTTAAATTAGTCTTGTCCTTTAAAGAAAGCATCTTCCTCAAAACATTTTTGGAATTGTTTTCAGACCCAGTTACTATTGCAAGGAAGATTTATTTAGGACTATTGATTCTTTGATCCCCCACAATTTCTTTCTTTTGTTGTTTTTCTTCCTTTTGGTTCCATGCGGTCCTTGTTCCCTGCTTCCTGCATATCTCTGACCCAATCAGTGGTCTGAGATCATTAGAGATACACAGGTATGCTGGGCTAAAATTCGTACATAATGGAGAGAAAGTCTCTGAGCTGGACATAAACTCTGTCAGTGCCCAAAGTGCATCTAAGTGACCAAGAAAGACCTTAAGTCAGAATGTCAAAGATGACTTTTATTTCAAGATATTTCCTTCATGTAGGTTTTTAAATACTAGTTAAAGAAGGATAAAATTGCTAAAACACCTCTTCATTCTCTATCAGAGACACATTACCTAATGGAAAGTATATTACCCTGGGATCCAAGAGACTTAGGTACTAGTCCCAACTCTACCAATAATGAGCATTGTTACTTAGGGCAAGTTCATCTCATATGTATGGACCTCAAGGTCATAAATAATAACAGGTGCCAGGTATCACTTCAAATGCTTCACGGTGAGGTATTAACTCTTAATTTGTGCAATAATCCCATGAGGTTGATACTGTTATTATGTGCATTTTATACATGAGGAAGGGGAGGCACAAATATGGTAAGTGACTTGCACAAAAATCATTCCAGCCAAGACCAGTTTGGCTCAATGGATAGAGCGTCGACTTGAGGACTGAAGGGTCCCAGGTTCGATTCCGGTCAAGGGCATGTACCTTGGTTGTGGGCACATCCCCAATAGGGGGCATGCAAGAGGCAGCTGATCGATGACTCTCTCTCATCAATGTTTCTAACTCTCTATCTCTCTCCCTTCCCCTCTATACAAAATCAATTAAAAAAATATATAATAAAATAAAATAAAAATAATCATTCCACCAAGTGATAAAACTAAGAATCTACTCTTAACCACGTTGTTTTGTCTCTTTGCTTGTATGCTAGCCTATTATGACTTGCAGATTGTGCCTAAGACCCTTTTGTGTTCTGATATTCAGTTAATTGAATGAAATCATTATGAAAGACCAATTTTTAATTGCTTTAAAAAATTAGAAGTAAAGTCCCATCACTTTTGTTACTTAGTTTTTTTTCCCAGTCCTTTAACCAAGATGGGATAAGGTATGTAGGATAGTGAACACATGCATTATTGTAGCTGGTAGCTGTTGAATTTCATATTTCAATTTCTCTAGCATCAAGTCACACATAATAAATTTGGACAAGTTTACAGGTGCAGTAATGAAAGCTTATTTACAAGACCAGCACAAATCCAACTTTCCCAAGTAAATGGCATAATAATTTAAGCAGTCAGTGTAATAAACATTCCCACAACTCCATGGTTCCTTTCCAATTACTGGAGACTCTGTAACCTAAAAGTAGTGAAGCCATAACGAATTTTAATATGGGCAACAAATTCATAGAGACTTGAAGAAAAAAATTGTCTTTTTTAAAATTTCTGTTGATTAAGGTGTTACATTTTGGTCTTATTTTTGCTCTTTAATTTTTTTTTTAATTTTGAAAGTAAAAGTCTTCTGTTATAGTGTGTATTTCAGTCTTATAAAAAAACAATTTCCTGGGCTTATATAATACTTAGAAGAGCTTTAATTCCTCCTGAGCCTCCTAATCTCTCTTATAACACAAAAGCAGTGTATTTGATCTTGTGCTACAATATGCTTGTGTCTCATCCTTTTCACTAAATTGAAGTTACCTGAGAGCGGGGATCATATTTATTTTACATTTTTATCCTTTATAACCCTACTATTGTAAAAATGTGCATGTAGTCAGTGCTCAGTAGAACATTTTGTTTGTTGAATATACCAGCTTACATTAGAAAAGGAACCATCTGCAATAGAAATTCTTTTTTATGTCAGTCTGTTTCAAATTATCCTTTGTTGCTTTTTCACCTAAGGACACTGTCAATATCACGTTAGTCAAATAATCCATGACAGTGTGTACATAATTTATTTTTCAAATATTAATATCCTCTCTTGGTAACTCAAATTTCTTTACAATGTTAACTTCTTAATCTATTAACAATGGTAGTTTCCATCCAGAAATGGAGATCATAAATTTTTACTCCATTATATTTTTATTTTATTTATTTTTTAAGGTTTTTATATTTTTTATATTTATCTTTATTGAGAATGTTACGATGTTCCCCATTCCCTCCACCCATTATCCCCCTCTACCTGGTTCTCACCCCACCCCAGGCCTTCACACAATTATGTTTTTATTTTAGTCAGATATTTTACCGTACTATTCAGATTTTAATTTTTCTTGCCTAGAAAGGATAGGCTAGAAATATAAACATTTTAAAAGCCAGAATAGATTTTAAAATATGAAGAGCATCATAAAGGATTAACTGAATAAAATTAATTTGGAGACTGGTCAATGAAAATTCTATAGAATTTTCCAAGCATAGAGATGGCCTTTTCATTTTCTACTTACCCACATCCCCCTGACAACATTATATTCTTCTCTTACAAATCCATCTTTATAAAAATAGTCTGAGCCTGGGGTATATAGAGCAGGGTGGGCTAGAAAAGACCAATGGGGGGAAAAGGGAGACACATGTAATACTTACAACAATAAATATTTTTTTAAAGATAGTCTGAGTAGGCAGCTCTGTAACTGGATTATAATGCTCTCCCAATTAATAGCCTTAGAACTGTGTTTTTTTAAACTTAGATTTTCATTACATTTAATTGATAAAAAGATATGCATGTTATTTACCTACATACTTTTGAAAATACAATTTTAACCATAGCCCAACCAGAACCTCTTATTTTCATTTCAGAGATTTTAACCACTGTAAGAAGAAATTTATTTGTGTTTGCCAAATGCTAAGTTTATGTTAGCAGAATTCCATTGTAGAAAATTACAAAATACTTAAAAAGACAAAGAATAAAATAAAGACCAATAATTTAAATACTTTACTCAGACCATTTCCTGAAAGAATGTCTGGCTATTGCAATCTAAGCCATTTCTATATCTCTCTTTTCTGATAGCTCTTGAAAAGCGGTAACAAGGAAGAGGAACACATTTTGGAAGCAGAAAATAAAAAACTGGTAGAAGACAAGGAAAAACTGAAAACGGAATTAAAGAAAACTAAAGATGGTAACTTTGTGTGCATGTGCCAAAGCAGAAAGAGCATGATATTTTATGCTGTTACACTTCACTGTTTTCCCTAAAACAAATCTAATGGCTAAATAGTTCTTCTGACTGAAATACCACGAGCGACCTATTTATAAGTTCTGCTCAAATATGAAGATAAAACATTGTTTCAGCCAAGAGAAACATGCTGTGTTATACAGAAAAACATGTAGGTGTTTCAGATCTGTGTTGTAAATACAGATGTTCTTACCTTAGCAAAAGAGCTATGTTCCTAAAAAGTTGGTTGTAAACATTATTGGGAAATAAATCACATAGTACATCGCTCCTTTAAAAGAAGTGATCACAGGTGGACAGTTTTGGTTATAAGACAGTATATTGCTGCCTTGGTTCCGGGTGGCTCAGTTCGTTGGAGTGTCATCCTGTACACCACAAAGTTGCGGGTTGATTCTTGGTCAGGGCACATACCCAGATTGCAGTTTGATCCTAATCCGGTGTGTATAAGAAGCAACTGATCAGTGTTTCTCACATTGATATTTCTCTCTCCCCCTTTCTTTCTCTAAAAATTAATAAAAACAAATCCTCGGATGAGGATTAAAAAAAATATTTTAAAAGTAAGTACATTGCTAATCCCAAGCCCTAATATTCCTTACCTGCCTGATATAAGGAAAGCATTCCTTGAAACAGATGGGTTGGCATAGAGTAAGAAAAATCAGGATGTCAGCAGAGAATTTGAATGTTTCATTTCAAAATACATTGCAATGAGGACTTGGGTAGAGGATCCTAACTTCATTTTCCTGAAGGCAGCTATTTCTTTTACATTTTTTTTTCTTTTAGTAAATATGTTCTTATTGATTTTAGAGAGGAAGGTAGAAGTAGAGAGTGATAGGAACATCGACATGGACCAACTGTCTCCTGCATGTCCCAGGCTGGGGATTTAGCCTGCAGCCCAAGCATGTGCCCAGCCTGACTAGAACTCAAATCTGCGACCACTTGGTGCATGGGTCAATGTTCAACCACTGACCATATGGCTGGGGCCATTTTTTTAAAATAGTTCCAATAGTATTTTCTTCTTTTTAGTCAAACAAATTATTATTACCTGCAACCACATAACACAGAAAACTGGATACCCCAAGTCCAATGTTATATTAGGAAATTCTGTTTAAAAGTTTGTGTCTTGATCCCCATGAACATTTCTGCACAAAACAGTTGATGTCCAGGCACTGGGAACCTCTCAGTCAGTCAGAGTTAAAGTAATGATCAATGTATAGATCTTCTCCAATTTTAAGTAGTCTCTTCCATTACTTTATGTTGGAGATAAGTTGGAAAATGTTCAGTGACTGAATGAACCAAGGACCTACTTTATGCCATTTGTAAATTTAGATTTTTAAAATAGGCCTCAGGCCCTAACTGGTTTGGTTCATTGGATAGAACACTGGCCTGCTGACTGAAGGGTCCCAGATTCGATTCCAGTCAAGGGCATGTAACTTGATTGCAGGCACATCCCCAGTAGGGGGTATGCAGGAGGTAACTGATCAATGTTTCTCTCATCAATGTTTCTAACTCTCTATCCATCATCCTTTCTTTCTGTTAAAAAAAAAAAAAATCAATAAAATAGGCCTCAGTATAATAGAAGTTCTCTATAATATAACTTGCAAATTGATTATGCATTTACATTCTTTGGGTAGAGTTTTCTTCATCAAGATATTTTGTGGGTTTTATATATATTATTATTATTTTTTTTTTACTTCATAGAGAAAGGGAGAGAGAGAGAGAGATAGAAACATCAATGATGAGAGAGCAACATCAATTGGCTGCCTCCTGCATGCCCCCTACTGGGATCAAGCACACAACCTGGGCATGTGCCCTGACCAGGAATTGAACTGTGACTTCCTGGTCAATCCCTGAGCCATACCAGCTGGGCCTTTGAATTTGAAATGGAAAAATCTGAAGGTAAAAGCTAATTCCATTTTTTAAAAAAAGGCAATTTAATACAATATTAAAATTTTAATCACTTTTCTACTTTTTATTTAAAATTACAAATGTAAATCACAAAATTCTTTAGAGGTAGTAAGTTAAGAAATAAGTTACTTCTCTGGTCAAGGTGGTATAATATATGGTAGGGATAGTGTAGCCGTAATTTCAAAATCTTGTCATAGTTGGTACTATTGGCTCTTCTGCAATTCCAAAAGATTTGTAACATGATCAAGAAGTTTTAATATTTGTATAAAAATAAATTTAATAATCACCTACCCTCGACGTTAGACATTTCAGAACAGAAATCATGTTCTTTTTCAACCCAACACAAAATATTGGTGTTAATCCTTCTGAAGAATGCAAAGGACTATTTTCAAAATATCTTTTATTAGTTAAAAAATTTATTTTAAAATCTTGCTTTTTTCGCACCTGCCAACGATCCTTTTTCTTATGTTGTTAGCAGGATAGTATAAAAATAAAAGACAGTCAGGAATAGGTTGTGTGCCCTGTTACCCACCTCAACCCTGAGCTCAACTTCACAAGTCTGAGATGTAACTTTCTAAACTCAGCATTATTTTAGGTTAACATAACACAATATTTATTTAAGAGACATTTCAGATGTTTGGAGAAAATTAACTCTCTGGTGATATAGGCATTGTGTTTATAATCTGATAACAAGAGACGCCAGCTCCTGTGTTTGAAGTGTAGACTGCATAGCTATCTTCATTGTGAATCAATGTTGAGGTAAAAGCAGATTTTACCTGTTTGAGTATGTCCTATTTGGTTCCTGCAAGGTGTGTAGTATTTTATGAATACATTTTATTTACCCAAAGTTATTATTTTAGATAACACTACTAATGACCTTGAGAAGATCAAAGTTTCATTTCTAAAGGAGTAAAATCCTTGGCTATGTTCTCTTGATCTAAACTAGTCAAATTTGTTAAGGCAAGAATTAAGAAATTACATAAACAAATAGTACAAGATTTGGATGAATTTAGAAGCACCGTTCTTTGGACGTAGTAGCATTAAAAAATATTCACTGATTTCTAAAGATTGAGGATATAAAGGCTGGCAGTGCTTTCTGAACAAATGTTTCAGAAAGTTCTTTTATACTTGACAATTGAGTAGGAAAGTACTGTGGTTTATTATTTTTTAAAATATATGTTTATTGATTTCGGAGAGGAAGAGAGATGGAAACATCAAAGATGAGAGAGAATCATCAGTCAGCTACCTCCTTCATGCCCCCTACTGGGGATCAAGCCCACAACCCTGGCATACGCTCTGACCAGGAATCAAACTGTGACCTCCTGATTCATAAGTCGACACTCAGTCACTAAGCCACACCAGCTAGGCTTGTTTATCTTGTTTATTAGGGGTAAAATGATTTGTCTTACTCTTAGTATTTCTTTAAGTAAAACATTTTCACTGAAGTTTATTAGCAGAAATAAAGCATAGATATATGTGTTTATTTAAGATGGTCCACCCCAAATTGAAAAACTAGCATTCCAAAAACAGGTGGTAAGAACACTCTGTAGTAACAATTCAGATATTGCCCAGAGTTAGTAAATTACTTGTGCTTCAATGAAGTAATATGACCTTAGTGTGTGCATTTCCCAAAACACCTAATTTACTAAGTTAGTCAGGTGTAAGAACCTGCCTCATTGGTCAATTTTAATGATCTGCTTAACAATAAAGCTGATGCCCCAGTGTGTGGAGTAATTGGGGAAGGTCACTACCATGCAAAATGAGAACTTAGGCTTTGAAGATTTACAAAAGCTAACCAGTTTTCATAATAAATATAAATCTTGTATGTAGTGGAAAACCTTCTGATGTTCAAGGACATTGACTTCAAAGGAGTCTTTTAGGATAGCTATAGTATTTATTCTTATAAATAAATACCTCCTCAGTATTATTGTTTTATTTTTATTATTTTTTTTTTAGTATTATTCTTATTATGGGTACCATTTAATCATTGCATGTATCCAGGCAGTGATAAAAGTAAATATGATTTTAAAAGTGATTGTACTACATGTGAAATTCTCTCCTCCCCATTCCTTTAGGAGCAGGAATTGCCCACAATATGCTACATTCACAGAGTTCTAGGACTGCTATTTTAGTAGAAGCTGAGCAATGTATATTTCTCCTACAAAAAGGAAAAAAAAAAAAAAAAAAAAAAGACCAAAAAGCGATTAGGGCAAATTCCTGGACCCTGCCTTTATTCTTTCTCTCTCCTTTCCTTCTCCTACCCTCCCCCTTCCTTTCTTTACTTCCTTTTCTTACTGCCCTTTCTTTCCTCTTACCCACCTTCCCTTCCTTCTTCTTCCCTTCGTTTTTTGTCTGTTTCTATCAATAGTTTTTTTAAAGAACTTTTCAAATTATTTATTGCAAATTTTTTTAAAAAGGTTTCTTATTTACATTTAGAGAGAGAGAAAGGGAGAAGAGAAGAGAGAAACAATGGTGCTAGAGCAAAACATTGATCTGCCATTTTCTGCACGCCCCCCACCAGGGTTTGAGCTCCCAACCAGGTCAACCTGGGCATGTGCCTTGACTGGAAATCAAACCAGCAACCAGTCAGTGCACTGCTCAAGGCCCAACCAGCTGAGCCACACCGGCCAGGGCTATTGCAAGATTAGTTAACATGGAACATAATTAAAACTATTTTAAGCATGCCTATAGAAGATAAAGCAAAATTTTAATGTAGAAACTGAATGTAGAAGCCCATTTTATATACCTGAGTATTGACAGAATTTAACAAGGACCCTAGATTTGGACCAGAAAACAGAACCTTCTTGTCCTTTTTATGTTTTGTGGTTTTTAAAAAATATATATTTTACTGATTTTTTTTACCGAGAGGAAGAGAGAGGGATAGAGAGTTAGAAACATCAATGGGAGAGAATCATCGATCAGCTGCCTCTTGCACACCCCCTACTGGGGATGTGCCCGCAACCAAGGTACATGCCCTTGACCGGAATCGAACCTGGGACCTTTTAGTCTACGGACTGACGCTCTATCTACTGAGCCAAACCGGTTTCAACTGTTTTTATTTTGTCTTATTGAACTGTATTCTGTGAAACTATTTGTTTGGTTTTTGTTAGTAATTCTGAATTAGCGTGAGATATTTGTAACATGATTATGTTTTTATCAAAATATCTCTCAAGAATTGTCTGTTTGCTTTGTGACTATCCAGTTATCCTGAATATTTTGTTTTTTGATTAAAGATATAACTGTTTTTGGTTGGAACCAAGATTTCTATCAGGTGACTAAAGTGACACCTCATTATTTACCTGACATTTTATTTTTAGGAAATGAACTGGTTTTACACAGGTGAACTTTTAGGTGCCTAAAGCATAAACTTGTTATGTATCCATTCCTTTTTTTCCTTCAAGGAACATAATTAAGCACCTATCATGTGCTAGGCATAGTGCTGGGTGCTCAAAGCAGATACAACTCTTAGACCATAGTTTAGTGGGAACATAGTGACACTTTAGCATGGTAAGTGCTGTAATAAAGGTTAGCTCAAGTTGAAGTAAACGCCAACAGCAGAGATCCAGGACAGTCTGTTGACATTTTGAAGGTTGCATTTTAATTAGCCATATTAAAAGGGGGAGAATGAGAGAAGTAGAGAGGTTAAGGGAGACGGGCAAGAATGTTTTCACAAAATGAACAGCATGTAACTGAAAGAGCATGGCATTTTCAAAGTACCACCAGGAGCTCATAATGTGACTGGAACATAAAGTGGAGACAGTGGTGAGAGTTGAGCAGTAAGCCTAAAAGCCATCATGAAGGGCTCATATGTCATATTTATATGCTAACATTCTGGAGGAAAAGGGTCACTGTTAGAAAGTTTTTAGGAGAGTAGCAATCACTTTGATGATAATGTGGACAATGAATTATAGTAACTAGGAAACTGGGTGAGGAATCCATTTCAGTAATCTAAACTGGAAATGAGGTAACAGAGGTAACAGAGATGGAGTAGATTGATTGGTGAGATATAATGGAAATATGGATGTGAGGATAAAAGGTGACTAAAGTGATATCTAAAACAGACCTAATCTACATGTACCTGATATTATAGGCCTGGGCAAAAATAACTACAGTGAAAAAGACAATTTATGTTTCTTGCTTAACAAAGGGTCTGTGAGTGAGTCTACTTTCCAAGAAGTATCTTGGAAGCAGTATGTAGATTAATTGTCTAGTACTTGATCACTGATAAAGGAATAATACATATAAGAATTAAGTACTGAATAGCTCCAGTATATCACACTCTCAAGCTCTCAAAATTAGAAGCAAATAAACTGAAAAGAAACCAACACTAAATATATAGAAATTTATCTAGAAACTAGAGGCCCAGTGCATGAAATTCACTGGGTAGAGTCCCTAGGCCTTGCTGACAATCCAGGCCAATCTGTGGGGTAACTGCCAGGGTGATCTGGCAGTTACCCCACAGATTGGCCTGGATTAAGTACTGGAGCTATTCAGTACTTAATTCTTATATGTATTATTCCTTGGAGGTGACCAGCAGGGCAGTCAGGGGATGGCACCAGCTTGCTTACCAGTTGGTCCTACCCCCGCTGCTGTTGCCACTGGTCGCGTCCCTTTGTGGGGTGACCAGTGGGCAATCAGAGGGCCCCTGCTGGCACCTGCCTTGGCTTGCCTTGGACCTGCAGAATGGGGGCAGCTCCTGCATTGAGCATCTGCCCCCTGGTGGTCAGTGTACATCATAGCGACAAGTCATTCCACAGGTGGTTCCACCGTTTGGTCAATTTGCATATTAGACTTTTATTATATAGGATGTTTCCTCTGGCACAATCCTTACAGCTCTTGTACCACAGCCAACTTTAGCTGTCATGCCAATGCCTTAAAAATATTTTCCATTTCCTGGCAAAGCTTAGCCAGTAGTGTCTGTTATCTCAGGTAGAAATTATAGTGACACAATACATTTACACAATGTGTTAGTTTAACCCACTCCTCCCACTGTGCAAATAGCTCCATTAATGTAAGTTTGGCACTTTGAAAACCACAAATATTTTTGGCCTGCTTGCATGTCATTGTACACAAACATTTTGGCATACTGTGTCTCACTATAACATTAGTTGGAGTTACTCTCTATATTAATAAATGATGCATGTGCCCCCCAAAGTGAGTAGAACATAACCTAGTTTTTATTTGAATTTGTCCAGTGTTGTCATGAAATATCTCAGCATTTCCATTAAGCCACTGTCAAGTGATAGCAAGTCATATTTGCAGATGAGAAAATTGAAAGTGAGTTTGATGTATCACCTCAAGCTTCCTTGTCTAATGTCTTCCTTATATATGCTGTTTCCAAAACAGTATGGTTCAAAATAAAACAAGCATATTAAAATGTCAGATAAGTTTATATAATCCCTTAGTCACAAAGGCAGTTCCAGAAGGAGGTAGAAGGCATATAAAACAGGATATTGTAATTCTTGTAAAAAGAGAAATAGATAAAGAACAGGAAAGCAATAGAAAATGCTCCTAGGCAATAACAGCCTTTCTCATTAATGTTTCTAGCTCTCTCTTCCTCTCTAAAATCAATAAAAATATATATTTTTAAAAATAGCCCCCCAAAAAGAAAGGAAGACTCTTCTTTATAGTAGAATGCTTACTGATAAATGTGGGTGGATTGGGGAAGCTGGAAAATCACCATATCACAACCATAATGATAAAGACGGGTTTAGGCAAGAATTATCAGTGGGTGCTAAAAATAAGGGCAAAGTATATCAAGGAGCAGGATGCTTACATTGTTAGTCTTCTCACATACTGCTTGCTTCTAAGTTATAAGGAGGAAAATAATAAAATGGAAAGCTATTGAGAGGCTAATGGGCCTCTGGATGTGATACCTTGAAAGACATTCAATATCACAAATATGAAATAAACTAGAGGCCCAGTGCACAAATTCATGCATGGATGGACTTTCTCGGCCTGGCCAGCGATCTATCAGGGCAATGAGTGCCGCAGGAGGCTGGCCAGCTTGGGGGAGGGGCCGTGGGAGTGTATTGACCACCAAGGAGCAGCTCCTGTGTTGAGTGCCCCCTGGTGGTCAGTTTGCATCATAGTGACCAGTTGTAAGGTCTCCTAGGCTTTTATATATAAAGAGAGATATTTATATGTGAGAGGCATAAGCTGAATTTAATCAAGAGGAAACATCAGACAAAACCAAAATGAAAATATTCTATTTTTAAAGTGACTTGCATTTTTTAAAAAAATTCAGTGTCATAAAAGATGAGGGAGAAAAGGGCAGGCAAGACTGAAGAACTAGCCAGGCCAGTCTGGCTAGGTTGTTGAGGGTAAGCCAATGAAGCAGGAGATTCAATTCCTAGTAGGGCACATGCCCAGGTTGCTCAGTCCCTGGTAGAGGGCATGCAGGAGGCAGCCGATCAATGGTTCTTATTAGTGATGTTTCAATCTCTTTCTCTCTCTCCATCCTCTCTGAAATTAATAAAAACATATTTTTTAAAAGATTGAAAAACTATTCCAGATTAAAGGAAACTAAGGTTATAACAACTTAATGCAAAAGTTGATCTATAACTGGACCCTGAACTAGAAGTGCAAAAATAATAATGAAAAGGAAATAATTGGGACATTTGCCATGATTGGGATATAAATAGATTTTAAAAAGTATTGTATCGATGTTAAATTTCATATATTTGGTAACTATACTATGATTATGTTAGGGAATACCTTTGTTCTTAGGAAATACGCCGTGAAGTATTAAGGAGTAAAGGTGCCTGTAACTTATTCTCAAATGGTTCAAGAAAATAATTGTGTGTATGTGGAGAGGAAGAATATAATAACAAATGTACTACATCATTAAGAGTTGGTGAATTTGCATAAAGGCTACAAAGGAGTCCTCTATTCAAGTCTTGCAAATTTTTTGTAAATTTGAAATTACTTTAAATAAAAATTTTAAATTCTATTCAATGTTTTCTAGCTCTTTTAAAGGCACAAAATGACATGATGGCAATGAAGATGCAATCAGAGTGTCTTTCAAAAGAATATGACCTACTCTTAAAAGAACACTCAGAACTTCAGGTAGGTGACATCCATGTTATAGGCTTAAATTTTTTGAAATTGTAATTAATTACTAGTGAATCAACTATTTGTGTTATTTGCTCTTCTAAGATCAAGTTAGTTGTACTTAATCACAATTTTGTTAAGTGATTAAGGAACCCAGAATTTACCTATAGAGTGAAGATTAGGACATTGCATGAAAATACAAGATAATCATATTCACCTTCCAAATCCTACTTGAGAATCAAAAGATTGCTAAAGAGCAGTGGTTCTCAACCTTTCTAATGCCATGACCCTTTAATACAGTTCCTCATGTTTTGGTGACTCCCAACCATAAAATTATTTTCATTGCTTCTTTATAACTGTAATTTTGCTACTGTTATGAATCGTAATGTAAATATCTGTGTTTTCTGATGGTCTTATGTGACCCTGCTAACAGTTCTCATCAAGACCCACAGATTGAGAACCACTGCTGTAGAGCCTAAGACCATCGAAAAACCATATTTTTACATTACGATTTTTTTACTAGCAAAATTACAGTTATGAAGTAGCAACGAAAATAATTTTATGGTTGGGGGTTACCACAACATGAGGAACTGTATTAAAGGGTCGTGGCATTAGAAAGGTTGAGAATCACTGCAATAGGCCATCTATAGTAAAAAGCTATATCTAATTGTCCATTATGGATTTCACTTCTATTGTCAAATCAACCTTAAAAATTGCATTATATCCTAAAGTTCTTTGGGAAACTTTCTCAATTTTACATAGTTAACTTACTTTAAATAAAATAATCAGAAAATAAGGAGCTATAAAATATTAAGGAAACAGCTGAAACCGGTTTGGCTCAGTGGTAGAGCGTCAGTCTGCGGACTGAAAGGTCCCAGGTTTGATTCTGGTCAAGGGCATGTACCTTGGTTGCGGGCACATCCCCGGTAGTGGGTGTGCAAGAGGCAGCTGGTCGATGTTTCTCTCTCATCGACGTTTCTAGCTCTCTATCCCTCTCTCCTCCTCTCTGTAAAAAATCAATAAAATATATTTTTTAAAAATATTACGGAAGCAAAAGTGGGAGGAAGGGTAAGCTGATTTCCTTACCATAAACAAATCCCACTTTGCAGCTTTTAAACCCACTTGGATTTCCCCATCTGGTCCCTTTCCTGTTACAGTTACTAAATAAATATTAGAAAACAGTCCCTTCAAAATATGTAGTCTTTGCCTTTCCTTGTTTGCACTTGTGCTCTTCTAGAAAAGAAAAAAAAAAACAGAACTAACAAGGGACATTGACAGTAAAAAAGTGTGAGCACCTGCCAGTTTGTAACTTTCACTTTGGAAAATCACCCTTTACTTAAGGGACTTGTCCAGAATAACCGCTCCATTCAAACTGTGTTTTTTGTCTGAAATGGTAAGATATACACTGAGTGGCCAGATTATTAAAATCTCTGAACGCATTATAATCTGGCCACTCAGTGTGTGTGTCTGTGTGTGTGTGTGTGTGTGTGTGTGTGTGTGTGTGTGTGTGTGTATTAGAGGCCCAGTGCATGAATTTGTCCAGCCAGGCTGGCCAGGGAGAGGGGATATGGGTGATTGGTCAGCCTGCCTGCTGGTCAAGAGGACAATTTGCATATTAGCCTTTTATTATATTGGATATACACTGAGTGGCCAGATGATTATGCGTTCAGAGATCATTATCTGGCCACTCAGTGTATATAACCTGTCTTCTCCAATCCTCTCTTCTGATTGGTTGCTTAAAGTTAATGTTATTAAAGTTATTCTGAAAGCATCAACACTCAGCCTGGATAAGCTTTTGATGAACTGCCTGTGTTCAAGCAATAACATTACAACTCCATTTTATGACATTTTTCCTTCAGGGTAGACTTTTATCTTCTTGGAACAAGATCTCTTAAGATTAATTCTACCCCATTTTCTTCCAATTTTAAATGATATGTTATAGTCATCTTTTAACATGATCAGTAAAGAGTATAATTTGAGAAGCTAGTTGTATTTGGCAAATATCTGAAGAACAACAAAAAAGGCTACCCCACCTGGGTTTTGTGGTTCCCTTCATTCTTTCTCTGCCAGAGGGGGATAGAAATTTTGTTTTCCTGATATAACTGTGAAGCTAAAGCAAAATAGATTAAGGCAGGGGGATAAAAATAACTTATCAAGAGTTTTATTTTCCCCTCTCGACATCTTTTCTAGTAAAACCCACCAATTTTGTAGTTTTTAAAATTTGAGACCTTCTTAATCCATATTTCACCGTTGATAACTCTTATAATTAATAAGAGTTATTCACAGAAAAGAATATAGTTAAAGAGCTTTAAGTTAATGTCTTATCTATGAATCTGTTTTTCACTCTTTGCTGTAACTACTTAAGTCCATTTTTTTCTTGCAGGATCATTTACAAAAAGACAAGAAAAGCCTGTGAAGTGTAAGAAAGAAGATCATGGCATACCATGTCAGGATGATAAATTTGCTATCACGTTAATCTCTCAGAAATTTAAAATTCAGTTCAGAAAAATGTACTGTGACTGGCCAATATTTTTTAAAATACCATACATAAGCTATTATTATAATGGCATTATCACAATATTTGATGATGTTTCACATAAATTGTAAAGTCTATATTCTGGCTCTTAAGTAAAATATAAGCATGTTAAAAACATTTAGATATTCATAGTAACAGTGATGTATGGTGGCTGTTTACCAATAGAAAGAAAAATTCATTAGCCAGTTATTTCCAAAATTAGATTTTTAAGTTGCATGAAACCATTAATAGCCTTTAAAAGCTTTGATGAATTTCTGCTAATAATAATCTATTTAATCAGATGATAATAATGATTATGTATTTGAATATAGTATCCATGATCAGCAAATTTGTTCATAGGGAAATTAAATAAGGATAAATGATCCAAATTTGCCACTATCTTAATAGGGAAAAGTCAGAACAAGAAATAAAAACAGTGACCTTAAAGCCTGGTAACACATAGTATGGTTTACTTTCATAAGACAACTGTTTTAATAATTATATTTTTGTTACTGTCCACCTACTGGACTGTTTTTGTTGACATTTGTGTCAATGACACGTAATTAGTAAGTGGTCAACCTTTTTGAAGTCCATCTAACAGTGGAGTTTACATCTATTTGCACAACTGTCACAGCACTGAACTAAAATTATTTTGCAACAATTTGGAATTCTTGACTCAGCAAGTATTTCCCATTGCTGTGAGAATTATATAATTGTAATACAAATATTACCTCCAATATACATACACTGGTATTATAGTTCCTCTGAGATGTTTATGTAATCTGAAAGCTAAATATTAAATACTGTTTTTCCATTCAAATATTTATTTGGCATTTCCTTTAGAAAATGATAATGATTATAGCATTAATATGATTTAGGTTGTTCCCAGGGTTTAGACATGGAAATTATCTTTCTTGTCTCATAAAAACCTAAATACAAAAGAAAATGGAAAATAATTACTAGAGTTTTTATTTTCTTCATATTTGTTTTACCCTTAGTTGTTTATTATCCTTTTAGCATCAACTTCACACATATTTAATTTTTTTCATTATAAAATGGATGAAATGAGCAAGTATGTAAGACTTTTTTTTCAGATAAAAGTCAAGAGTTACTGCTAGAAAACAGACACATAGGAGACATTTAACAGGAGTAAGAAATGGGAGTTAGACCATCTGGACTGACAGCACCATAAATAACAAGAAGAGGGAGGGAGTGCTGAAACAAGACAGAACTCCAAGTATCAACTGAAAAATATCCAAGTTAGAGCTACATGGGTAACACCTAGTGAGAGAGTGTGATTTTGGCCTGCTAAACAGAAATCCAGTCTATTATAGTACAGAATAACACAGAGAAAATTAGGAACTGTACACCTTTAGGATTGGCAGAATTTAAATCTAATTCCAGCATCACAATAATTTAGCCTGGTGATTTAAACAAATTTTTTAACCTCTAGACTTCCATTTCCTCATCTTCAAAATGAGAGCAATAAGATTAGATCAGGATTACTCTGTACACTAAGATAATACTGTGATTCTCAAAGTTGTTCAGACTGTATGGCAAAGAGAAAGTCTGGGTGCTCTTTGAAGAGCACGAGGATTTAAAGACTTCCCAAGATCACTTCAAAGTGTACATTTAAGTACTCTTCAATCTCAACCTTCAGTTTCACAGATGGACAACCTGAAGCCTCAAACCTCGGAGCCGTTTTCTCAAGGTGACATGATATTGGATGGATGCAGGGCCAGGATCTAAAATAGAATTCAGGTGTTCAGATATTACTCTAGTCTTGATAAACACCAGCTAACTATAATTTGCTGAACAAAATATTGCCATGATTTATCCAAAGTTTGAATGCGGAACTTTTGCTTCAGAATCTGTGTATTTTGTCACAATACCAAGTTACCCCCGAAACTATACTCGTTAGTCATGCTCTCCTTGCCAGTGATGGAGTTTAGCAAAAAATAAACATGTATTCCGTTTCTGGTTACACTGTGTATTGTTTCTTTATATGGTCAGTCATGACTTCTTTATATTTTAAAAGAACATAAAGGCTGTATTATATATTTAAACACAGGAGTGCCATTCTTGTCCTTTTCTATCAGAATTACATAAAGTTTTATCACCCTTGCTCCCACTTACAAATCTACCTTGAGGTCCTGGACTCTAGAAAGGAGCATTTAAGAAGTTCAAGCCAAGTACTCTAAGATTTGGTAGGAGTCACCCCATTGCTTATCGTGGGCCCCAGTACTGGTAAATAGAATACCCCGTACCCCTAATCTAGAGCTTGGAGCTTAACTATTTCCTATGATACTATCCTGATATCATCAACCTGCCGTGTTCTCTAATTAAATATCCATGCCTGTTCCGGTGCTGGGTCTCTGCTTGCCTGCAGTGACATCCCTGCTTCCTCCTTGGGCCTCCCAACCAGAGCCACTGGGATGTATCTCTCCTGTTTTACTCTGCTTCTGTAGGTTAGGCTGGCCCTGCACTCCCATCCCATTGTTCACTGCCTTCTCACTACCCCCCATCCGTGTCCCACCACAGCTGAACAGCCCATGCCCAGCCCTACTGACACGTGATACACCTTATTTTTGAATGACCACTACGGGGCAATGTGTAAGGATAGTAGTCCTTTTAAGCATGGACTTGAACATCAAGAATGATATGTCTAAAGCCCAGGAAGCCCTCCTGAATGTTTGTCTTTCAGCCTACTTTTCCCAATATTCCTGAAAACCCGCTTAACAAAGGTTCTGTTTTCTTTTTTTTTAACATTTCTTTAATCAATTTACTAAACAGCATTATTAACTTCTTAGTGTTGCTTTTCACCTGGATCTCTAAGCAAACATTACTCTTTCCTTTTATAGACAAAAGTGACTTCAACACTGTAGATTGAATAACAACCCCCCAAAAGATATCCATAATCCTGATTCTATGGCAAAAGAGTGAATATTAACTTTATATGGTAAAGGACATGACAAGTATCTTGAGATGGAGAGATTATCCTGGATAATCTGGGCCCTAAATGCAAAGGAAGGTAATTACCACATAGAAGAGGAGATGGCATTGTGGCATGGATGCAGATTGGAGTGCCATAGCTGCCAGAGCTGAAGAGGCAAGAACGGATTCTTCCTTAGCGCCTGCTGAGGGAGAATGACCCTGTGGACACCAGTGAAACTTGACTGGACTTCCGGACTTCAGAACCATGAGACAAGCATTTGTCACCAAGTTTGTGATAATTTGTTAGCAGCACTAGGAAAGTAATACAGGAACATACAGGTAATGGTGTGGACTGAATTTCATAATGTGTGGAAACAGATACCCTATCTTAGTTCTTTTTCTCCATTCCTATCTTTAGTTCTTTTTCTCCTTCAACATTATTTCCATTCCCACTGCTACTGTCAAACCAAACCATTATTTTTTTAAAAATTTTATTTGGAGAGTATTACAGACGTCCCCTTATTTCCCCATATTGCCTCCCTCCACGCAGTTCCTGCCCTGCCACAGGCCTTCACCACCTTATTGTCTGTGTCCATAGCTAATGCATATGTACATATAAGATCTTTGGCCTTGGGCTCCATTTTGCCCAGTGATGCCAATAGCAATCAAGACTCAACTACAACAAGAAAGTGCACATAGTCCACACAGGAGTGTACCTAAAGTGTACAGCTCAGATGACTGGGGAGGCTGAGTCACTGGGCCCTACAGGACACTTACTACACAAGCCCACTCTACCAATTCCTCACCCCTCTTCCTTCTGAGATTCGTCCATCTATTCCATGTTTCCATGCCTCTAGTTCTATTTTACTCATCAGTTTATTTTGTTAATTAGATTCCTTGTTTGTTTATTTTGATTTTTAGATTCAATTATTGATAGATCTGTATTTATTGCCATTTTATTGTTCATGGTTTTTTCTCTCCCCCCTCCTCCTCTTCCTGCTCCTCCTCCTGCTCTTTCTCTTCTTTCTCTTCCTCTTCTTAAAGAATATCCTTCAACATTTCATGTAATAATGGTTTGGTGGTAGTGAACTCCTTTAGCTTTTTCTTGTCTGTGAAGCTCTTTATCTAAGCTTCAATTCTAAATGATACTTTTGCTGGGTAGAGTAATCTTGGTTGTAGATCCTTGCCATTCATCACTTTGAATATTTTTTGCCACTCCCTTCTGGCCAGCAAAGTTTCTGTTGAGAAATCAGCTGGCAATTTTATGGATGTTCTCTTGTAGCTAACTAACTTCTTTTCTCTTGCTGCTTTTAAAATTCTTCCTCTGCCTTTAATTCTTTGCATTTAAATATGATGTGTACTTCTTTTGGGTTCCTCTTGTTTGGGTCTCTCTGTACTTGTAAATCTATTTCTTTCACCAGGTAGGGGAAATTTTCTGTTGTTATTTCTCCAAATAGGTTTTCAATATCTTTCTCTCTTCTTCTCTGGCACCCCCATAATGTGAATGTTGGTATGCTTGAAGTGGTCCCAAAAGCTCCTTACACTATCTTCATATTTTTGGATTCTTTTTTCTTCTTTCTACTCTGTGTGATTTTTTGCTTCCTCATATTCTAAATCTTTGATTGTATTCTTGGAGTCCTCTACTGTTGATTCCCTTTATTCTTTATTTCATTAACTGTATCCTTCATTTTTGGCTGGGCCTTTTTCATGTCTTTGAAATTCTCACTAAGATCCTTGAAAGTCTCATTAAGTCCCTTGAATCTCTCATTAAGATCATTGATTAACCTTATAACCATTGTTTTGAAGTCTGTGTCCAGTTGTTTGCTTGCTTGCAATTCATTTAGGTCTTTTCTGGAGATTTCTTCTGTTCTTTCATCTGATATGTTTCTTTGTCTCCACATTTTGGCTGCTTCCTGTGTTTCTATGCATTAGGTAGAGCTGCTATGTCTCCTAGAATTGGTAGAGGG